GAAGCCAAACAATAAATCTAGTGTAGGATCTAGCAAAAATCTTATTGTAATTAAACCAGAAAATCTAAATATCAGTGAACAAAAACAATTTCTAAAGCTAGGTCTTCTAAACATTAGATCGCTCACACCTAAGGCGGTTATTGTAAATGAAATGGTCACAGATAATAACTTCGATGTTCTGTGCCTTACTGAAACCTGGCTTAAACCAAATGAGTATTTCGGTCTAAACGAATCTACTCCGCCAGGATACTGTTATAAACATGAGCCTCGTCTGATCGGTCGTGGCGGCGGTGTTGCAACAATCTATAAAGATATCTTTAATATTACTCAGAAAACAGGTCACAGGTTTAATTCATTTGAAGTACTTGTGCTAAATGTTACGCTCTTAGATGTAAGAAGGAAATCCATATTATCTCTAGCCCTGGCTACTGTATATAGACCTCCAGGGCCATATGCTGAATTCCTAAAAGAGTTTGCAGACTTTCTCTCGGATCTATTGGTAAATGTCGATAAAGCAATAATTGCTGGAGATTTTAACATACACATAGATAATAGAAATGATGCTTTAGGGGCTGCGTTTACAGACTTATTAAACTCCTTTGGGGTCAAACAAAACGTCAGTGGTCCCACTCATCGTCTAAATCATACACTAGATTTAATTATATCATATGGAACCGATCCAACTGATATAGATATTATACCGCAAAGCGATGATGTCACTGATCATTACATGGTGACTTGCATAATACGTACTGATGAAATATGTCATGTTGCACCACGTTATAAACCAGGCAGAACAATCCTTCCAACCACTATAGATGGATTCTCAAATAGCTTACCTGATCCATCTAAGCTGCTAAGTGAACCCAAACAAACAGATGAATTAGAGGAAATGACTAGCAGTTTTAGCACCATTCTTACTAGTACATTAGATATTGTTGCGCCAATTAGATTAAAAAAGGTTCGAGAGAAATTAAAGCACCATGGTACAACAGTGCTACGCATGCTATCAAGAGAGAAACTCGCAATTTAGAGCGTAAATGGAAACAAACTAATTTAGAGGTCTTTAGAATCGCGTGGAAAGACAGTATGTCACGTTATAAAAAGGCCCTAAAAACAGCCAGGGCTGAGCATCTCCGCAAACTAATCGAAAATAACCAAAATAATCCAAGATTTTTATTTAACACCGTGGCTAGACTAACAAATAAACAGACATCACCAGAGCAAAATATACCGTTACAGTTTAGTAGTAATGATTTTATGAATTACTTCAATGCGAAAATAGAAAGCATCCGAAACAAAATTATAAATGTACAATCCGCTATGGTGTCTTATGATTCAGCTTCAATTATGGCCCCTCTAGAACAACTACACCACTTTACAACGATAGGACAGGAGGAGCTAAATAAACTTATCATTGCATCTAAACCAACAACATGTTTATTAGATCCAATACCCACTAAACTACTGAAAGAACTATTACCTGCAGTGGAAGAGCCTCTCCTCAATATTATTAACTCGTCTTTATCTTTAGGTCATGTCCCAAAAATATACAAGCTGGCTGTAATAAAACCGCTCATTAAGAAACCGCAATTAGATCCAAATAACTTGGCAAATTACAGACCCATTTCAAATCTTCCATTTATGTCCAAAATACTTGAAAAAGTAGTGTCCGCTCAATTGTGCTCTTTTTTGCAAGAAAATGATCTCTATGAAAAATTCCAGTCAGGATTCAGAGCGCATCATAGTACAGAAACTGCGCTAGTTAAAATTACAAATGATTTACTTTTAGCTTCTGACCAAGGCTGTATCTCAATACTAGTCCTACTTGATCTTAGCGCTGCGTTCGACACTATAGATCATATAATACTCTTGGATCGACTACAAAACTTCACCGGTGTCCAGGGACAGGCATTAAGCTGGTTTAGATCGTACTTATCGGACCGTTCTCATTTTGTCTGTTTAAATGGGAAAAAATCAAAGATAACGTCAGTAGACTATGGAGTACCGCAAGGATCGGTTTTAGGCCCTCTGCTATTCTCAATATATATGCTGCCACTTGGTAATATTATAAGAAAACATGGAATTCATTTCCACTGTTACGCTGACGACACTCAATTATATATTTCATCACGACCAGATGAAAACACTAACTCAACTAAAATGACAGAGTGTCTCAAAGATATAAAATGCTGGATGACGCGTAATTTCCTGCTATTAAATTCAGGTCCAAAAAACTACTCACAAAACCTCTCACAATTCAACTTTAGACGGATGTCCTGTTACTTTATCCACTACAGTAAAAGACCTGGGTGTTATATTAGACCGCAACTTGTCGTTCGAAAATCATATTTCATATGTTACAAGAACAGCCTTTTTCCACCTTAGAAACATTGCTATGCTGCGTAACATGCTATCTATTTCTGATGCTGAAAAATTAGTTCACGCATTCATGACCTCGAGACTAGATTACTGTAATGCTTTATTAGCTGGTTGTCCTGCATCCTCAATAAACAAGCTACAGTTGTACAAGTTGTACGGTCAAGTACAAAATGCAGCTGCTAGAGTTCTTACTAGGTCAAGAAAATATGATCATATAACACCGATTTTATCATCTCTGCACTGGTTACCTATTAAGTTCCGCATCAACTACAAAATACTACTACTGACCTATAAAGCCCTAAATGGTTTAGCTCCTATGTACTTAACGGACCTTCTTTCGCCCTACAATCCACCGCGTTCCTTAAGATCACTAAATTCAAGGCTTCTGGTCATTCCTAGGATATCGAAGTCCAGTAAAGGAGGGAGTGCGTTCTCGCATTTAGCTCCAAAACTCTGGAATGGCCTTCCCGATACGGTCCGAGCCTCTGACTCGCTGACACAGTTTAAAACTAGATTAAAGACGCTTCTCTTTAGCCAAGCATTCACAAAATGCTTACCTTCTAGTCCTCTGTTATGCCATACAGAACCGTTTGCCACCGAAACTGCTTAACGCACCCAGGGGCGCAACTACCCAGTTTCAGAGGGGTGTGCAGCAACAATTTTAGCAATTTTATTTTTTTAAATATTTTAAAATAAAGGAAACTTTCATAATTAGTTTTGCACTAATTTCTATACTTGATAAGCGCATAATGACATGTTTCATGGCCAGTGTGTCAGAAAAAAAAAAAACTAAAGCTGACTTTTTTTGACCAATGCATTACACCAGCACAGCGCCGCCAATTAAGCAAAAAACAAAACAAAAACAAACAACAAACAAATGTATGAGTTTTGTTGGCCGTTAAGACAAATAAATTAAAAAAAGGATTAAATGTATTGGCTGAAAAGCACGTCGGCCCAGCGGGAATCTCCCGGTAGTCCCGATGGCCACCGAGATATAGATAGCCTACATGCCTGGATGTCACATTTTAAATCCTACCTGTTGGCTTTCAGCAATGCATGCAGTTATTTCAATTTACATGCCATCTCCTTTTCTCTCTTTCTTTTTCTATTTGTAGCCCCACAGCATTTTGTTTTATCCATCTTTTTCGACGACAACTCACTACTTGTACCTCACTACCTGCTCGCTCAGCGCTCACGGCGCCCCCGCCCGCTCGCGATATTACCCGCCCCCCTTCTCCATGAGGGCGCCTACTCTAGCCTGGCTGTTAGTCCTCTAAAATTTTATATAACATTGAAGGAATGCAGAAATGGCACAACAGCAGCTACATATAGAAATACAAAATAGCATATATATAATTTTTTTTTTTTTTTTTTACCATCGCTTTGGCGCCCCCCATTTTGCTGCGCCCCTATGCGCCGCATATAGCGCATACCCACTTTTTGCGCCACTGAACGCACCAGTGGGGCTCGACAGCCTTTTAGACAAACGGGCCGGCGCGTATGGTTGGGTTGCGGAGAGTTCAGGTTACGGAGAGTTTGTGAGTTATAACGGAAATCATTATGAACATCAGCTATGCTAATTATTTCCCATCTGCCTTTCTGCTGTTATCTTGGGACGCTTGTCCCGAGAAAAATGGCGTTCGTCAGGTCCAGTTTTGTGTCCAGCACGGGGATTTCGGATGCCCCAACGCCTGTGATGAGACGACTCAACGCCTGCGATATGTTATGGCGCCGTTTTATTCATAAACAATATTTATATTTAATATTTATATTTAAACAATATGAATGTAAGCCAGAGGAGAACTGGCCCCCGACTGAGCCTGGGTTCTCCCAAGGTTTTTTCTCCATCCAATCTGATGGAGTTTGGTTCCTTGCCACTGTCGCCTTGCTTTTGGCTTGCTTTGAGCTTGCTCAGTTGGGATTATTTAGTGTTTAGCAATGTTGTTGATCTGTGTTGTGCTACTTTCATGTTATCAGTGTGAAGCTGCTTTGATACAATCTGTATTGTGAAAAGCGCTATATAAATAAATGTGACTTGACTTGACTTGACTTGAGGAATTACATTTCTCACATGTAGGTTTCTTTTCAGCTGTCTTAATACATGCGCACAATTCTTGAACAATAGATGGATTAACTAAGGCATTATCGTCATCATCAGAAGCATCATCAAAAGACTCAGAAAATTCAGAATGTCTGGAAGAAACTACTAACTGTGACATTTTAGACATCATCTCACCCTTAAGTCCAAGTATTTCTTGTTTAACATCCATATCGAGCAAATCATGTTGAGGCTGTTCACAAGGAGCCGATGAGCTTGGGGAATGTCTTAAAGGTGGATTTTCATACTGAGTTTGGTGATGATCACTTACAACTAGTGTTGGTGAGGGAGGCGGAGGAGGACCATATTCTCTCACCATACAGTCAACAAAACGGGCAGGAGGTCTTCTGCTTCTTAGGCTGCGCCGGATTGCAGGTCTTGCATGGTAATCCATTCCACCAAATTTCTACCTCCGGCTCGAAGGACCATATGTTGGATCTCAGATGTTAAATGTATCCAAAGTTCGTTGGAGTTGTAGAAACTTGATGGTGTGTCTGATTAAAACACATGGAAAAAATACCAGTCCTTTGCTCTCTTTTATTTTCAGTTCAGGATGATAAAGTCTTAATTCACATGGAGCTGACACACATGATGCCAATGAACAGATGTTAATGGATGGACAGGATAAACAGGATGTACAAGATGGTCTTTAGTCACTACAAACAATACAATAAAGGAAATTAAACTCATATAATTCATCAGTAACATATTATCAACAACATATATTTTAAACAATTGGCAAAACAAACTTACTCAACGCATCCTAAGGAAAGGACATGGTTGGGTGTCCATTCCAACCGCCAAACCTCACCAATACAAAAGAAAAAAGGGGAGGAAGTGAGGTCTACTTATAGACCTTGCCCAGGGGGTGTATGGGTAATGTAGTGAAACTGACAAAAGGATTGTGGGATATGAAGTGCAAATATGTAAGGAGAAAGAAAAATAAATAAATAAAAGGTATAATTAAAGGATCAAATTCACAACAGTACCTAAAGGGTGCATATTGGTACCTTCATGGTACCATTAAGGTACCAATATGCATCCTTTAGGTACAAAAGAGAGTGTACTTTGTTTACGCATACACATACCCACACTCACACCCGCTCACATTCACACTTAGATCAAACACTTAAATCACTCTTAAGTTGTCACTGCTGGAATTATAGATTTACAAGATTGCTCACTACTGCACTATGTTGGTTTGTTTGTATGTATGTCTGACTGTTAAATAAAAATAATAATAATTTAAGCAAAAATCAAAAAAAAAAAAAGAAAAAAAAAAAAAAGAAAAAACTCTGGATTCTGATAGAGGGCCATGAGACTTATACCTGAGTGCAAAAATTGAGTCTTTAGACCCTTCCAGAGCTGAGATATTGAGATTTTTATAGTGGCATAAATGCTGCTTGGGATCTCAATATCTCAGGTCTGGAAGGGTCTAGAGACTCCATTGTTGCACCCAGGTATACGTCTCATGGCCCTCTATCAGAATCCAGAGTTTCAAGAAGATCAGAGAAACTTTTTTTTGCACCTAAAAAGTCGACAGGGGTACGTTTTTTTGGGGTCGAAATTTTGAGCTTCTTGAAACTCTGGATTCTGATAGAGGGCCATGAGACTTAGACCTGCGTGCAAAAATGGAGGCTCTAGACCCTTCCTAAGCTGAGATATGGACATCCCATTGTCCAAATACACTACCCAAATCCCAATTCAATAGATTGCAGGCGGGATTCTGTCCAAATTCAGTTTATTGCATGAAGGCAAGGGTTAGTACTTTTCAAAAATAGTGGGTTATTGGACAAATAGTGGGTTCGTGGGACGGGGCGTGCCCGGGGACTAGTCCGATGCACACAGGAAATGGCTCTAACATGAATGCATTGATCGATTCCTAGGTTTGTTTTGTCGTGAATAAACAAATGTGCAATATATAAAGGAAAAACCTTACGATTAAAGTTGTAATGTTATAATGTTCAATTTTTTGTTCTAAAAAAAGAAAGATGCACACAGAAAATGATTCTAATATGACCAGATTGATTAATTCGAAGATATTTAGTTTGTTACAAACAATGTGCAATCTGTAAAACAAAAACCTCAAAATTATAGTTGAAATGGTATACTGCTGGAATTTTTTTTTTGACCTTGAGAAAAAGCTTAAAGCATAGACCAACACATTTTATGTTTATTAATTTATTTCATGTTGGTACATTTTTGGGAAGTACACCTGTTTTGACCTGATGTCCATTGGAATGGACAAAAACAAATCACAATGAAAGGAATTATATAAAAAAAAATTCCATTTGTTTTCATTTATAGAAGCCTCATGAGCTGGGAAAATGTACTTTTATATTTTTCAGAAACTTGAAACATAATTCAGGTCTGAGGGGGTTAATACAACTTAAGTGACTGCTTGTGTAACGTTTCCGAACTTTGTAAAGTCAAAGTGTGTCTGCAAGACGAGGTAGTTGCTGATATCTACTGCCTCGGTGGCAGGAAAATATTTCAATTCAGTTGAAAAATAGCTCCTCTTCATAACGTAAGGATCACGTTCAACATATGTTTGATATTTTGTTTATTTCTTTCTCTTGTAATAGCGTGTAAAGTAGTACAGTACAGACTTTCCTCCATCTCGTCCATTGAGCTCTTCTTCACTCCCTGTCCTCCATCTGAATTCCGCGCGTCATCATAATCACGTGACTGGAACCCAGCTATACATACATTCCTACATCTATACATGCAGTACATCCACCCATACATACCTATCTTCCTACCTACATCCAGTACATCTGTACCTATCTATCTATATACAAGCATGCATGCTTCCATTCCTGTATATATCCATCTCTACCTACCATACCATAAATGAATGTCATAGTTCACCAAAAATGAAAATTCTGTCAGTAATTACTCACCCTCATGTTGTTCCTTGTTAAAGACATCGTTGAAATAGTCCAAGTGACTACCGTGGCTCAATATTAACTTTATCAAGTGACTAGAACACTTTTTGTGCGCAAAAACAAGCATAAATAACGACTTTATTTCAACTATTCATTTTCCTTCTCTCTCTGCCTTGAGTCAGTTAACATAGTATGATAGTGTAGAGCTATGTCACACGTAGGCTCACTATTGGCCGACGCTGGTCACGTGTGTGATGCGTGTGACGTACAACAACAGATCATACGCTGTTAAACTAGTAACCTGACTCGAGGCCCAGAGAGAAAGACATGAATAGTTGAAATAAAGTCGTTATTTATGTCGTTTGATAAAGTTAAGATTGAGCCACTGTAGTCACTTGGACTATTTTAACGATGTCTTTAATAACTTTTCGAGACCGGCAAGTTTCAATCCCTCAAGAAGCCTACGGACTAGTATGGAGGAGTGATCCAGCTCTCAGATTTCATCAAAAATATCTTAATTCGTGTTCCGAAGATGAGCGAAGGTCTTACGGAGTTGGAACAACATGAGTAAATCCTGACAGAATTTTCATTTTTGGGTGAACTAACACTTTAAATTCACCCAAATGAATAATTGTGACTAAAGACAAGGAAAGAACATTAGTGGTTCATTTCACGCATTCACGAAGCATTATAAACCACAGAAGACTTGCAGTTGTCCAACTGTATTTAATCCACAGTACATACAGTTATACACATGAGAGCACTGAACCACCGACCTGGTAAGAAAACTGTAAAGGAGCGAGTCAGTCCAGATCAGTACGTCAACAGGAGTGTAAAATGAACCTGCAGTACGTCTCCATTCATCATTGAAAAGTTGTTGGGAGAGTGATTCATTTGCAATGATTATCTGAAAGTTTTGGCAACGAATAAAACGGGCACAAAACACGATTGTTTCGGGATATTTCACCACATTTATTTCATCCAATGAGCTTGTGTTTTGAAACACCTGCACACTAATTAGACAGCATTTACATGTCCAAAATACTGCAATGTCAATTTATTTCAAAGTATTTCTATGCATTTAACGCCTTTTAACTCGGATGTCAGTATTTCTTAAAAAATATGGTTGGATTTAGGATTAACGGTAATATCATTTAAATATTTGGTATTAACAACTGATATGACGTTCTATACAGACAACAGCATATTTGTAATGACTAGAAACTGGAGGTTTGTAGTGTGGCCCATTATTGAAGAATACAGGAAAGTGTACGAAAGCTTCTCTTTGACATGCAAAGTACAAAAGTGGCTATAATCTGGTTTATCTGAAGATATAATACTTGGCCCACAAGCAAGGCCGCGGATGTTTAAACTAATGTTTGCCGTGTAAAAACTGTGGCACAATTGTCGATCACAATGTCCCTGCGATGCGTCTGAATCTTAAACCTCAACAATTCGGAAATGAAACTCATCAACGTTCTCAACGCTTGATTTGAAAACAGGAGAAAGTGTAGAAGAAGTAGAAGCAAGTCAGTTCAGATGGCAAGAGTGTGTAACGGAGAATTTGTTCAGTGGTTAACAACCAAATTATAGAGCAACAACCAAGATGACCTAGATATCAGCGGTAGAAGTTCACAAACCTTCCAGCATGTTTATTTCCACTGAGAACCCCTGATGTCTGGTACTGAACTAGATGCATTAAAGACTAGTAATACCAGTCCAAATGCCATCTCAGAGCAAAAAGGTTGATTGAAAAACCGTTCAGCACCAATTTAAACTCGGTCTTTTGCAGCAAATTTATCACAGAACCACAGAATTCACAATTCCAATTCACATTTCCGTCTGCAGCGTTTGTACATGTGCAGGTGTGTGCTCCAGAGGCTCATTGTTGGCTGAACTGGCGGTGGTTGCGTCATCTAGAGTTTTGCTACGGAAACACTGTCGACGATTATGCACAAGGAGACGCGTCATTGGTCCGTTAAAAGAAGCATTTCAGAAGTGTCGGACAAAAGAATAAAGCAAAACACGTAGAGTCAAACCTGAAATATCCATCGTCTTATGTTATGAAGCTACAGAAATAAATAAATTCTGACCGTAACATATCCTATTATAGTGAAATTTACAATATCTATACAGTATCTACACTGTTTGAAGTCCTCGGTTCAGAACATCCACTCCAGACAAAGGCCTCCCAGTTCCGTTACATGCAGCATGGCTATTCCAGTGTGTGTTCATGACATGATATACAGAAACAAACCGTGTACGGTTCACCCGACTTTGTCATGCTGTCCGATTTAAAATAGCAAGAAAATTAAAAGCACAATCTCTATATACCTCAATCACTTACATATGAACATATGGACAATATCATAGATAACTGAAGTTGATCTAAAATGATCTAAAATCTTAAAAACATGTGCCACGGAAACGCTTGGGAAACGTTGCTACAATCCATCGGTAACCTTGGACGTGTGTTTGGGTTCCTATGATCTGCCTGCTTTTGGCACATTTCTCGCGTGCTCTTGTTTTCGGAGAACTACATAACCGCGCATATGCGCACAAATACCCTGCCATAAATAAAAAGGGACATGCGCTACACGCGAAACGTCGTGTAGCCACATGAGATGGAAACAAGGGCCTCCACTATTCCACTAGTGCAAAATAACAACAATGAGGTTTATGCAGTTGGAGAACTACAGCTTTCGAAATCGAATTCGTTTTGGCCGTCGGCAGTATCAAGCGAGCGAGTCGAATCGCTCCCTGATCGGCTGCAAAAAGGAAATGATTGAGCGAAATCTTTTAAAAGTTGTCCTTGAACATGCGAATCCAGCGAGCTGCGTGGCGCGTCCTCGATGGGAAACTCTCTCCACGACGACGACAGCAGCAGCAGGAAAGTTTTTCCTTCAGCAGATGTGGCATGTGCTTGCGACCGGTGTTTGGTGGCTCAGGAGTTAACGAAACAGCAGTCGAGAAAAAAAGAAACACGGAAGGTGACCCAGCAGCCCAGGTCGAGGTGGCGTCTTGGAGGTATTGCGAGCAGATGGCCTTGTAAAGGGATTGTTCTTGCTCTGAATGAGAAGTAAAGGCCTCGGATGACCTGCAGACGGAGTTCGGTGCGATGAGCTTTGATCCTTATTGCCAAATGCTGCTGCCATTCGACTCGGAGAGGCTGCCGGGAACAAATGAGCGGAATGGCCTCTGGGTCTCGTCGGCTCCTCAAGTTCATGGCTGCCCTGAGCAGGTAAGAGGAGGCACGTATTTACATGTGTGGGAATCTCTGCAGACGCCGGAAGGGAAGTCTGGGGAATGATAGAGGAAGCGGGAAGAGTCCATACCCACCCAACGATCCATGTTTTCAGTCCCAACAGTACATTCAATCAAGTCAGAGGCGAGGGCCATGACCCAGAGCGATGCTTAAGGCGCTAGATTTCTGGAAAATGCTTGGCTGCCGGTCTAAAAAGAAAAAAAATCAAATAAAACGAATCGGAGAAAGATTCTCATGCAACGATAGTAATGCCGTGAGATTTGCTCACAGAGTCTGTTGTAATACTGTGAGATTCCGTCCTGTCCGTCTCCTACCGTTCCTGCAGCCCGCGTGCCCAATGAAGTGCCTCCAGAATTTGGACCCGGTGGGAGGAGCCTATTTCGGGCTCAGGGCTCCGCCCTCGAGTTTGCTGGTTCGGCCCCAGCAGCCGGCGGCGATGCTCATGCTTCTCTGTGCACGTTCGGCCCGCTCGCGGTCACATTCCGATTGGCTCTGCGCACGTTCGGGACGGCCCACCGGCACGGGCGGTGTGGAGGACGTGGGTTGCGAGGAGATGGTGCGCAGCAGGTGATTGCGCTTCCGCAAGAAGTCGCCACTGCCGCCCAGCCCGAAACTGCCTTTCCGGAGGACCATGCGAGCGCTGCCGGTCTTGGCGGGTCTCGATCTCTGATTGTACTCCAGCTGGGAAAGATGAGTCGCGTAGCCATCGGCAATGAACTGTGGAGAGGGAGAGAGTGACGGCTCAGTGAGAGGAAAACTTGTGAGGAAAAAGTAGAGAGGAAAAACTGTGCGTAAAGATACCTGACACTGGTATTGCAATTTCTTTGTTGGTCTCCCCACAATGTAGATTTGTGATGGCGGCAGACCAAGTGACGTGTACACGGAGATGTCCTTCGTGGAGCCATAAGCAGCGAAGATCTTCATATGTGCCTACAAAAGAGCAGCTTTTCAATTATACATTTCACATAATTGAGGCTAAGGCTAACACAGGGTCTCTGCAGAGTTCTACAAATGACAGTACTATATTACCCACAAGCCCCTGCGCTACAGAAAAGAGGGCGTTTGTGGTGTTTGTTCTCACGTCAAGTCAAGCCAAGTATATTTATATAGCGTTTTTCACAATATAGATTGCATCAAAGCAGCTTCACAGTATCAATCAAAACATAATAACGATGTTCATTTCTTAGTGGAAAAACATCCATGTTTGGTAAAGCTGATCAAGGGTATTACTGATTGGTTAATTAATTTGAATATCCCCAACTGAGCAAGCCAAAGGCAACAGTGGCAAGGAACCGAAAAACTCCATCAAGTGACCTAATGGTGTCCAAAACTCCATCAGGTGACCTAATAGTGTCCGAAACGCCATCTAGTGACCTAATGGTGTCCGAAACTCCATCAGGTGACCCAATGGTGTCCGAAACGCCATCAGGTGACCCAATGGTGTCCGAAACGCCATCAGGTGACCCAATGGTGTCCGAAACTCCATCAGGTGACCCAATGGTGTCCGAAACGCCATCAGGTGACCCAATGGTGTCCGAAACTCCATCAGGTGACCCAATGGTGTCCGAAACGCCATCAGGTGACCCAATGGTGTCCGAAACGCCATCAGGTGACCCAATGGTGTCCAAAACGCCATCAGGTGACCCAATGGTGTCCGAAACTCCATCAGGTGACCCAATGGTGTCCGAAACTCCATCAGGTGACCCAATGGTGTCCGAAACTCCATCAGGTGACCCAATGGTGTCCGAAAAGGTGACCCAATGGTGTCCGACTCCATCAGGTGACCTAATAGTGTCCGAAACGCCATCAAGTGACCCAATGGTGTCCGAAACTCCATCAGGTGACCCAATGGTGTCCGAAACTCCATCAGGTGACCCAATGGTGTCCGACTCCATCAGGTGACCCAATAATGTCCGAAACTCCATCAGGTGACCTAATGGTGTCCGAAACTCCATCAGGTGACCCAATGGTGTCCGAAACTCCATCAGGTGACCCAATGGTGTCCGACTCCATCAGGTGACCCAATAATTTCCGAAACTCCATCAGGTGACCTAATAGTGTCCGAAACTCCATCAGGTGACCCAATGGTGTCCGAAACTCCATCAGGTGACCCAATGGTGTCCGACTCCATTAGGTGACCCAATGCTGTCCGAAACTCCATCAGGTGACCCAATGGTGTCCGAAACGCCATCAGGTGACCCAATGGTGTCCGAAACGCCATCAGGTGACCCAATGGTGTCCGAAACGCCATCAGGTGACCCAATGGTGTCCGAAACGCCATCAGGTGACCCAATGGTGTCCGAAACGCCATCAGGTGACCCAATGGTGTCCGAAACGCCATCAGGTGACCCAATGGTGTCCGAAACGCCATCAGGTGACCCAATGGTGTCCGAAACTCCATCAGGTGACCCAATGGTGTCCGAAACGCCATCAGGGGACCCAATGGTGTCCGAAACTCCATCAGGTGACCCAATGGTGTCCGAAACTCCATCAGGTGACCCAATGGTGTCCGAAACGCCATCAGGTGACCCAATGGTGTCCGAAACGCCATCAGGTGACCCAATGGTTTCCAAAACGCCATCAGGTGACCCAATGGTGTCCGAAACTCCATCAGGTGACCCAATGGTGTCCGAAAAGGTGACCCAATGGTGTCCGACTCCATCAGGTGACCTAATAGTGTCCGAAACGCCATCAAGTGACCCAATGGTGTCCGAAACTCCATCAGGTGACCCAATGGTGTCCGAAACTCCATCAGGTGACCCAATGGTGTCCGACTCCATCAGGTGACCCAATAATGTCCGAAACTCCATCAGGTGACCTAATGGTGTCCGAAACTCCATCAGGTGACCCAATGGTGTCCGAAACTCCATCAGGTGACCCAATGGTGTCCGACTCCATCAGGTGACCCAATAATGTCCGAAACTCCATCAGGTGACCTAATAGTGTCCGAAACTCCATCAGGTGACCCAATGGTGTCCGAAACTCCATCAGGTGACCCAATGGTGTCCGACTCCATTAGGTGACCCAATGCTGTCCGAAACTCCATCAGGTGACCCAATGGTGTCCGAAACTCCATCAGGTGACCCAATGGTGTCCGAAACTCCATCAGGTGACCCAGTGGAGAACAAAAAAACCTTGGGAGAACCCAGGCTCAATCGGGGGCCCGTTCTCCTCTGGCGTTTATGAACTAGAGGCCAGATTTACAGTAACTGTAAGGTAAAAAATGTATATGAATGTCTCTAAAGAGATTTTAAATGCAAACCTGTGATAAACTCACCTCTGTGATGAGAGCCTTGAGGAAGTTGGCTTTGTGTCGGAGGGGGTCGTGTACGAGTCCATCACAGAAGGACACGATCCCATGAGGGAAGTTGTGCTGTGAAAGCCAGGCCACCACACGCTGCTTCTGCATGTCTGGCCGCCCCGTCACGTACACTATCATGTAGCCTAAGTCCTGCCAGTGCCTGCAACAGGACCAACCACAACAAACCATACAAATGACTGACCTACAAGTTTAATTAACCCTGGAAAAGTGATTTAAAATGGAATCAAATAAATCCATATTTATTGAGTATCATGTTTGATATATCAGGTTTTATTGTTACTATTACTGAGTATTTCTCATACTCAAGGAGGAAAAAAAACCCGGTTTTATTTAGAGGCCCAAACAAAGAAAAAAATATGCAATTCGGTGCAGTTGCTGATATTTACATTGCCAGAAAGTGAGCAGAAATTCTAATATACTGATATAGTGATATTTCAAGATGAACTCTCATTGATTCACATTACAATCTAAGTTATTGCTGCATTTGCTTAATAAAACCAGTTAAGATTTCACAGCAAAACGCGTGAACCACGACCCGAAGGTGGAAGTTTTTCAGCAGTTCTGTTCATGTTGATCATTTAGAGGCCTTAGAAATTTGTGCATCACAGTAGACTTTATAAGGTTAAATGAATGAAGACATGCTCTCACCTGACTACGTCTACCGCTCCTGCTCGCACTTTAGGGTCGCTGCCCATGATGGACACGCTAGCGGCAAAAGAGCCGTCGATGCTGAACACGACAAACTCTGTGCCGTGTGGCAGCACAGTCAGGTAACTGTCAGCAGATGTGTGGTCGCCCCTTTGGACAGAGAGGACGTTGTTCACTTGTAGAAAACACATCCTTTTATGTGCAAAATAAATGTACATTTATGACTTACCTGACCACCATTTTGACTGGATACACTCCGATGCTCAGCCGCTTGCTCTCCGGAATCACGTAGGAAATCCGGCCGCTGCTATTGGTTAGTTCTGTGCTGAAGTACACCCACTCACCGGATGGAGGCTGGGTCATGATGTGGATGTCCACCTTGAAAAGTGCACAAAATGAATATGAAGAAGTGAAATTGAATAAGATGCCAATGGAAAATAAGTAGATTTGTACATTTTCTGTAGAGTGAGTGAAGTTGGATGGGCTATGGCAAGCCGTTTTAGCTTAAATTGTTCCCAGCGTTACTCGTCGTAATTGCATTTTTACTAGTAAGAATTCAATTCGAGAGCTCTACAATTCAGTTCTTACTAGTAGCAATTACAACTAGAGAACTCTACAAATTAGTTTTTACTAATCATTATGTCTCCATTGATTTCCATTCATTTACATTTACATTTATTCATTTAGCTGACGCTTTTATCTAAAGCGACTTACAATTGCTATGTATGTCAGAGGTCGCACGCCTCTGGAGCAACTAGGGGTTAAAGTCCCCGTGAACCGGAAGTTGCAAACGACTTTTCTCCAGTGTTGTGACGTATTTCCGAGAGAAACGGAATACTAAATGAGGCAAAAATAGTGGGCGTGGCTTTTTTTCCAACTAGCACCTGGTTGGATCTAGAAAAATGGGTGTTGCAAGTTTACACACGCTGTCAATCAATGCTCGCTCGGCGCTCGCAAACACACAGCAGCTGTCAGTTGGAGGGGCGTGGTTATGGATGTTCAGGAGACACCCAAACCGTAAAGCCTACGTCATCGGGCAAGGTCCTCCAATGCAGAGGGGAGGGGCATTTTCAAAATTTGATTAAAGATTACAAAGCCAAAAAATTTTTTTGTGTGGATTGAATTGCATGTATGAATTGTTCACCACAAAACGATCAATTTAGGCAAACAAAGTAAGTATGGTCAATTTTGATTTCATAAGGGACTTTAAGTGTCTTGCTCAGGGACTAGGGGTGGAAGGTAAACAGAAGTAACGGTTCGGTTCAGACCTCACGGTTCGTTACGATGGAGGGAAAAGCAAAACTTTAAAATTTTTTAAAGAAGTTTTATTAATAAAGGCATAGAACCAGTTAATTTGTAGTGCACTGACAATAGTTTTATATCATTAGTTTATTAATTAAATGAATAAAAAGACAAAAAAGACCTTGCGATATGTTTGGTAATTGTACCTGAATTAATTTAAAATTATTTTCCTATATTTCAGATCGATCTATTTGTTTTCCTTCATTTTTATTAACATTATTAATTAACAATGTAACATTATTCTCATCTGAATTATAAATAATTGATTTCTGTATAAAATAATACTACCATTAAAAACACATTTGAGTTTCTTTTTTAATCAATGAATGTGTAAGATTAGTGCTCCGAGGACAAGAAATTAAAACCAATGCAAAATGATGAATGTCCAAAAGATGTTGAATAAATATGTTTTGCTTTTAAAACAGTGTGTGTGTGATTTTGGTTGGGTGACAGTTGTATGTTACAGTTTGTCAAGTTTACAGTGTGACAAAAGCACAATGTTGTGTTTTATTGCGAATGTACACAAATATAAGAACAGTTTTCATGTTTCCACTGTTCTATCACGCCTCTCTCTCTCTCTCTCTCTCTCACGCACACACACACACACACACTCCAGCATTGCAATCTTGACATCGCAGCCTGTTCATTATGCTGTCACACCAAACGCGAATAGAGCGTCTAGTTCGTCACTAGTCCAAAGCGAATAGGACGCGTGTATAAAGCCAACGTTTGAAGTGAACGCGCGTTCAGAGCATAGACGGTTCAGAGCTAGCCGATGGTACAGATTATGTGTCCCTAACGAACCCTCGTATCTAACAGTAGTTCCGCATTACATTAAATAATATGCACGCGAGTTTTATTTATTTTTATACCGTGTATTCTCCATTTAAATTCGTGCACCGAACCGTGACGCGCGTACCGTCTCGGTTCAATACGAATACATGTACCGTTCCACCCCTATCAGGGACACATTCATTTTTAATTATGGAGCTCTACAATTGAATTGTTACGTAGAGCTCCGTAATTAAAAATGAATGGAAGTCAATGGAGACATATGACTAGTAAAAATTCATTTGTAGAGCTCTCTAAGTGTAATTTTTACAAGTAATTATTGAATTAGAGAGCTCTTTAATTGTAACTGCTACTAGTAAGAATTGAATTGTAGAGCTCTCTAATACAATTCTTACTAGTAAAAACGCAATTACGACGAGTAATGCTGGGTACAATTTAAACTAAACGGCTTACCATAGACAGGCTACTTGATTTTTCAGTCTCCGGGATCTTTACAAACCAAAGTGTATAGGGCACTAACCTTCTCTCCCGTCAGTGTGACCATGTCCAGCGGCCCGTACATGAAGCGACCCATGACTACCTGAAGGCCATCCTCATTAAACACGGCATCATTCACGCGGTGATTTGCTGTAACATTCTTCAACACAAACACATCTTTACGTCAGCAATCCTGTAATGCTCTCAATGTCAACATGAGGTTTTAGAGATGCCCGTCTCACCCTGATCTTCACATGTGTCCTCTTCCTTATCCACTTCTCCCGCGGTTTGGACGGAGTGAATTCGGACACCTCCTTCCCATCTAGTTCCAAAATACTCGAGTTCTCATGCCTCATTACCTAAGAGCAAAAACAATAAATATGACTAATAATTGAAATAAAATATGTGCAATAAAAAAAAAAATTGATGCACTACCACAAAATTAACAACTCACACCCTGATCTGTACGTTAATTTCATAGTCAGTAATTTGCTTCATACAGTAGCAAGAAGTATCACCAAAATTATAATATTTTTGGGGAATTAATTAAATTACACCTATGAAATTTAATTAATATGAAAAAGGCAATCCCTTATTTTATTATATTAAAATGTCACCAAAAACTAAATATAATAAATATAATTTAACAGTTTTATATAAATAAATGAATACAAATATTTAAAAATAATATATTATTAAAAGGCAGACAAAATACATGTTTTATTCTATACTTATGACATAAATGAATATAGATGTTTTAAAACATCTTTATTTAAATAAATCAATAAATATTTTAAAATAAAGGCAGAAAAAAAAATATGTAATTATGTTTCTTGGTGCAAATAACCCTGAATATTCCTTTAGGAAGAAAACATTTTATATTATAAAAGTATGACATAAATAAAGATCTAAATGAATAAAGATAATTTTATAACAGTTTATTTATATAAATAAATACAAATATATGAATAAGTTAATAATATATTATACAATCATGTTTCTTGGTGCGAATAACCCTGAAAATTCCATTAAGAAGAATGAATATTTTATAATCTTCACCTGTCTGAGCAGGAAAGACACCACATCCGTTGATTCCCAGTAGGATGCGTGAAACAGGTGAGGTAGCGCCACGGTGGGGAACGCAGTCAGAGCGTCGGGACAGTACAGGGCGAAATCGATGCGCTTGGTTCCCCACCAGCGTGCAGCGACTGCAGGAGCAACGAGACATTCAGTCAAGCCTGTCCAAACCATTACCGCTACAACGGCAGGTTCAAATACCATTAAAGATTTCTGTTTCAACTCTACATCATTTATGAATGTTTCAGATGCTGGATCTAGGACAGGACGAGGACATATGATGCAGGTTTGCTTCAGGGGCTCAAGAGGAAGGAAAGAAATGGAAAGTTGTTTTGTAATGTGCACTTCTTCCTCCCATGACCCATTGCAAAGATATTTAAGAACACAACCCTATTTTTGGATTCAAATTCTTTTCATTGGGGTTTAGTGTTCTTGAATCTGCAAACGGCCTCTGGTTCTCTACAAGTAGGATTGTGAATAGAAAACCAGTTTTTATTCAAAACTGGTTCCATTTTGACTGGGAAGACAGGGCGGTGGATAAAGACAGTGTACAGACAACATGTGTTTCTTACTGCTGGTTGCACGTCACTAAACATACAGTCTGATTCACAAACAGAAGAGTCGGTTGTTTTAAAAGAATCAGTAAAATTTTCTTAAAAAAAGATTCACTCATGTCTAAATGTAATTAAAGATTAATCTGGAACAGACATGAAATAAATGGCACTAAAATTAATAATAATTTGGTATATCTAACTTCAGAGAAAAATTATGCGATAAAAAAACGATTTATGCATAACCGCAATTCATGTCCCCAATCCATATGCAAATTTGATATTTTCCTTCCTAGCTTGAAATAACGTCCAAGTAATACTGTATTTTATAATATTTGAATAATAATGTAAAATAACATTTTGTAATTAAATTTTCTAAAAAAAAAAAATGTGCCCCTGATCTAAACAAAAATGTCATAATTATTAATTCAGCAAAGCAGCCAAATACGTTATTTGCTTAAATAAAAAATATTTTTGCAAAAAAAATTATATAGTATATAAATAACATTATTATTTGCAGATTATGCAAACAATATTTATTCATAATTAAAAAACTATAATATATATATATTAATTTTTTTTTTAAATGCTTAGTACATAGTGGAGACTTCCTCAAAAGTACAAAAAAAAAAATCATAGTAATCTCTAAATTCCCTCTGATTCCCATCCTTATCTATAAGCGACCGCTGACAGGAGATATTGAGGTCGTAAGCATGATAATGGGAGCAAGACCAGTCAGCGTCATTTCAAAGCATCTTCAGAAGGTCTTCATCATTCAGGGCAAACCCAGAGCGGCTCAGGGTTCCAGAGATGAAGAACCAGAGCGCCCGCGCTGAGCTTTTAAAGGATGGGGGCATGAATTCAGAAAACAAAGGCATCAGCGCTGGGGAGATCAGCAAGGAGACAGGCTGAAGATTCGGAGGGCTAAAACAGGCAGTAGGAGGGATTGCAGGGAATGCAGCAATGGAAGAAACTAACGCAGGCAAACAGGAGAGCGGGTGCATCTGGAGGGTCTAGGAGACCCTCTGACCGGACGTCTACCCACGCTCCAAGTACCTTGCTCGATGTCCAGCGGGACACACGGTGATGGCGGGTCTGAGGAGAGCGAGGGTGAGGGCTCAAAGCCTAGAGAGATGCTCTGCTCTGTCTCATCCAAACAGCTGGAATCCTGCCTTTCTAGCGGACGCTTATTTTGTGCTTTGCAGGATTTGTGGGAGGGGCTTCGGGAGCTCATTTTATTATAGGGGAGGGACAATTGGGACAAAAAACTGAGCTTTTTGGAGAGTCTAACTTGGCATGCTTGTGTTACTAGAGAAAAAACAACATCAAAACAACAGTAGTCAAAAGGTGAACATGACATATGTGATAGTTCCTACTAGCTTTTTTTGTTGCAGCACACTACTGTTCAAAAGTTTAGGGAAAATAAGACTTTAAAAAAAAAAGAAATTAGAACTTTTATTCAGCAAGGACCGAATTGATCAAATGTTACAGTAAAGAGTTCTATAATGTTAGGAAAGATCTCTATTAATCAAAGAATCCTGAAAAAAATGTATCATGGTTTCCACCAAAATATGAAGCAGCACAACTGTCAACATTGTAGGGGTGGGGGAAAAATCGATACAGTGTCGTGATATTTTCTGTGGCAATACTGTATCGATACACGGGCGCCAAGTATCGATCTCTTTTTGCTATATTTGATTATAAAATTATCTGTTTTACTTTCCGGTTTTCTTCATTGGTTTCTCTATTTTTCACTGCTTGAGAACATAGGTTGAATCCCTAAACCCTCATTCACTAAGTTAGGCTTATTCCTAACTAAGTTAATACTGTTCACTTGAAGGAGTGAATGAAAATGAGTGAGTGAATTCAGACAGCCGTTGAGCGTAAGCTGTAGGCTACACGTTAATGCAGTGCAATGTGGGACAGAGACATTTTGGCATAATTTGTGTGTGTAATGATTTGTTCAAGCCCGAAAGAGAACTCGATATGACACGCGTCTTTTCTGTGGGTTGTGTGTGTGTGTGTGTGTAATAGAGGCAGGATTGAACGGATACTGCGTAATTGCATTAAAAAAAGTTTGTTCTGTGGGTTGTGTGTGTGTGTGTAATACAGGTAGGGTTGAACGGATAATGCGTAATTGCGTTTAAAAAAAGTTTGTTCTTGCGCTGCCGCGGTACGATCGTAGCAAGCCTGGAGCACAACATTCACGTGCGAGGTCTCCCATTCAGAGAAAAATTACGTCCTGTCCTGTGTCCTGAATGTTCAAGAACAAGTTTTCAAGTTTTTGCACATCAGTTATTGTGTAGAATGTGTAATGTTTACAGAATTAAATGTGACATTTAATGGGCTATATGCACACATAAGTTTAGCATTTGACGCAAGACTGTTCTTCAGTTTCCGGTTGGGGAGATTAAAGCGGAGGAAAACGGGATTATGGCAGAGTCTTCAAAATTTACTGTCCTCCCATCTTTAAAACGAAACTTTCATACGTTTAGACGTAATTTTATATATAGTTATGTTACTTAATATAATTTTAAAAAGAAGCATAAACACAACGAGGGGTGTCTGTTTTTGTGACCAACGTTTCATTAGTATAACCATGGAGTATAAAATTCAATATAAATTCTCGGTATTGTATTGGACTCTACGATCGGCGGAAGTTATCCAGCATCCTTACACCTTCATCGGAAATACTGCTGTGCATAGAGCCCATTAAAGTGAGTTGAGGAGTCTTATTTTCCTCATTTTTTTTGTAATGTCTTTGAATAATATGGGGAACATGAATCGAATATATCGCTGAATCGAATCGCAATGCTTGTATCGCAATACAGTGAGAATCGCAATAATATTGAATCGTGGCCCAAATATCGCGTCACATTTTTGCCAATTCCCACCCCTGCAACATTGATAATAATAAACAGAAATGTTTCTTGAGCAGCATATTAAATGATTTCTGAAGGGTCATGTGACACTGAAGACTGAAGCAATAATGCTGAAAATTCAGCTTTGCATCAGAGGAATAAATTACATTAAAAAAACAACAACAACAAGCTATTATAATTTGCAATAATATTTCACAATCCTAGTGTTTTTACTGTAATTTTGATCAAATAAATGCAGCCTTGGTGAAGGTTTCTTGATATCGATTATTCTTGTTCTATTCTATTTAACCTAACCCGAGTGTGTACATGTGTTACTCACTGTTGGCGATGTTGGAGGCGGTGTAACTGTCCGCTAACCCTGACACCTGGCTGGCGATGCTGGTCTCACTGCCCCTGCGAGCCCCACGGAAGGCTGGAATGGATCCCGGAGACGAAGGATTGGAGTGATCCCCAAACATAATGCTGTGAGACTGCATCACGTCCGCTGTGAGGACCAAAACCAGGAATTACTCGCCGGAACTGACAGAGAAATCAGGGCCCAGAAATCTGATAATTTTCAGAAGACTAAACCTCAGTTCCAAAGCCTAGTGAGCAGACCGCATTCGATCTAGAACGCATCATAGGCAGTGTCGCGATCTCACTCGATTTTGGATCTGAGCTTGATCATAATACATTTGAGGGCCATTTGATTCAAAATGATAAAAGCAAGTGAAAAGAAGATGCAAACACAAATCCAAAGAGATATAGAAGTAGTAAATACTGCCCCTGAGTCCACTTTAATCTGTTCCTTCCATTCCTGAGGAATTTAGGAGAGCATTGACTGTTTTTACATGAAGTCCTCATGGGGCATTATCTACCAAATACACATGCAAGCCCGTCATCGGAATCAGGATTTGTCATTAGTCAAGCTGCTTGAATTTATATTTTTTCTTCTCATTATTCTTGCTGTATTGTTGTTTTAAAGGTGGAGTGTGTCATTTCTGCAGTACTAGTATCATTGAATGGAACGGCAAAAATAGTGCTGACTTCCAAACAGGTCAAACTGTTTCCAGGCAAACCTCATGAAATCTTTCAAGAACATGCCTAGGTTATATTTCACACCAGAATCAAAAGGGCTACTTTAGGACTAACATTTTCATAGCAATATACAGTACCGGTTAAAAGTTTGGAAACATTACTATTTCTATTTTGAATGTCTGCTCATCAAGCCTGCATTTGATAAAAATGATAAAATTATACATATTTGATTAAAAAAAATACAGAAAATAGCTGTAATATTGTGAAATATTATTACAATTTAAAAGAACGGTTTTCTATTTCAATATACTTTAAAATATAATTTATTTCTGTGATGCAAAGCTGAATTTTCAGCTTCATTACTCTCATTATTACAGTAATTTATACTATAATACTATACTAAATAGTATAACGTTTTTACTATAATACTATACTACTAACCCTAACCTTACAGTAAAGAATCTAACAGTATCATAGAGAATATTCATAATTACAAAAAAACAAAACAAAAGTAAAGCATCTATTGTACTGTAGGTGAAAATATGGTTAATTATAATGTATTTTTCTTTTGATTTTGTGGTGAAATTACACTTTTTAAGTCTACCTATACTCGTCCAAACTAAATTAGGGTAGGAAAAAGCATTTTAAAGTTGAAAAAATACACACTTCACCTCTAAATTCAATACCATCAGTTCCTCATGGTAGCATCCAGTGGCAGGAAGTCAGTAAAACTCAAAACCGACAAGCCCCAATGAGAGAATCAATGTCAAAGCAGACGCACAAACACAGATCATGTGAAATGAGGGCACACGCCACACAGGGGTGACACACATAACAGGGAGTTTACGCTAAAGGGGTGCAAGAAACCAGGAATGGCTACACACACTCGGCGGGGGCCGGCATGGCTTGCCAGTTGAGCACAGGGACGGGAATGGAAGTCTCGCTGATGCCATCCTGAAAGCGCTGGGCAGCACAGCTCACACTCTCCAACAGGAGGTGAGGGTTACTCTGGATGGTTTCCACTGCCACATGTCAAACCCAGCGGCATGAGGGACGTGGAGACATGAGAGCGACGTGAGGGGAGAGAGACAAAGAAACAGAAAATAAAGACAAATAACAGACAGAAATGACACAAACCGAGGCACGATAACACCAGCCAGAACTGCAATGATGGACGACGCTCTTTTACATGTGCTGCTTTAAACTAAACCACACAAATATCTGCTTTAATAGACATGCGAACACACGTGGGCCCCATTTACAATCATTTCTCAAATGTAAACGAGTACCTTGAGCTGATAAAGCTCGCAATGCATGTGACCGCATTGCATTTGTAGTACATTGACTCACCTGTCAATCATCAATTGCAGTAAAACATGTAAATGATCCAGTTATGTGCGGCTCTTTTTTGGGACATGGCACAATTTGCATTGTTATCAGCATCCAGTGAGACTTTACATATGAGTGATGTATGCAGCAAGGTCATAACCCAGATAGCAAACTGACATTGAATCAACGTGGAAATATGACATCGAAACAACGTTGATCTGACATAGTTTTGCTCATCGAATTAACGTTGAACCAACGTCAGACGCGTCATTCTTTCAAAACTAACGGAAAATCAACTTGAAATCAACGCGTTGTTTCAACGTTATGAAAGCAAACCAATTTTCGATTTTCATTTAGCTTTGAAGAATGCCGCGTCTGACGTTGGTTCAACGTTAATTCGATGAGCAAAATCACCGTTGTTTCAATGTCATGAGAGACGTCATTTCCACGTTGATTCAATGTCAGTTTGCTGTCTGGGAATAGCTAACTAAAACTAAAACCATTGAAAAAATCGTTACTTGAAATAAAATAAATGTTAAGTTAAAATACAATTAAAAACGTATTTCAGCTAGTACATTTCAAGGCAACATTTCCCTTTTGCATGAAACTTGTACTAAAGCTAAAACTGAAAAAAAACCAACAACAACAGAAATATATATATATATATATATATATAAAAAACAGAAAATATAAAAAAAAAGATTTTTAAATATTAATGAAACCTATAATCGTATTTCAATGATTCTGAAATAAATAACACTGGTATGCAGTCACAATATCAAGAGACCATCCCCTCTAAATCCAATCACGAGTGGTCAGAGGACACATGACAATAAAAGGTGATCCGATAACACTAGATAAATCCAGCAGGTCTTAGCAGGTGTACGTATTGAATGAGAAATCTCTCCCGTCTTACCCAGCAGGGCTGACTGGCCGTCACCCAGTGGGAAGCGCTGGTATCGGGGGACGCTAAACGGTGGCATCAGGTGGAAACGCTTCTCCAGCAGGGGCTCCAGACGAGAGGCGGAGGGATCCGCGGGGTGGAACAGGTTATAAACCTGCTGGCAAGCCGGGCGAAGATGAGCCACTGCAGGAAGAACAAAAGAAAAGACAAATCTTTGTTGAATTGATCTCAAATGTTGGTGTTAGAATATACATTTATTAATATAAAAGCATACGATTTTTGGTTTGTTATAGCGTTGTTCAAGTAGAGTCGTGCACACTGTTTAGGGTCAGTAAGATCACTTAATGTTTTTGGTGTCTCTTCTGCTCACTAAGGCCACATTTATTTGAACAAAAATACAGTAAAAAAAGTAATATTTTGAAATTTGAATATATTGTAAAATGTAATTTATAAAGCTTAATTTTCAGCATCATTACTCCAGTCTTCAGTGTCACATGATCCTTTGGAAATCACTCTAATATGATGATTTGCTGCTCAAGAAACATTACTGATTATTTTCAATGTTGGAAAGAGTACTTAAGCATTTTCTTTCGCCATAAGCTAACTAAAAATAATGCTGTTGTTTGTGGTGCAGAGGAGGTTAAGTAGGGCTGGGTACCGAGTTCGGTACTTTTTAGGTACCGACCGAATTGCCTCGGTACTACAGAGTATCGAAATCTTGTTTTCCGGTACCAAATTTTGGTACCTAAATGGTTAATCTCTTGAAACAATAAGCACGCAGCATGATTGACTGTGGCGGAAAACACTAGTTTACGCGGCTGCCCAGAGACGTAGCTCATCGCACGTGAGGCTGTAGTGTGTGTGTGCGCGTGTAAGCGTCCTAAAACTTTAGCATTGGTGCTTTTTTACATACTCAAGATATGAGTGTGGAAAAAGTCAACGAACTGAAAAATGAAATAAAAATGTAGGTAATATTATATTGTTAAAACTGGTTACATAAAATTGGTATCGATAAAAGTATCGTTCAGGAACCGGTATCGAAGTCAAGGTATCGTCTCGGTATTAGGGATGGGTATCGTTAAGGTTTTATCGGTATTACTACTCTTACCGATACCGCTTATCGATCCGGTACTTTAACGGTATTCTTATCGGTTCTTTTTGGTTTTTTTTTTTTTTTTTTTTTTTTTTTTTTTAAGAATTAAGAACACAATTAAACTCTTTTTTTTTTTTTAAGAATTAAGAACACAATTAAACTCTATATTTTGAAATGTAAAATAGAAAAAGCAAAACGAAGAAAAATATCTTTTTGTTATGCAGCAATGTGCAGGCTTTTTTTGTTTTATATACAAAAAGGACACATAAGAAAAAAAAACAAGTACAAACACAAGAATACAATTAATCAAAGATACAAATTATATACAAAGTGCTTTACATATCTTACATTCTGTCTGAAAAGAAACCTAATTTAGTAATCAAATATAAAATAGCACTGTATAGTTTATCATAGAGAGATTAATGCTTATTAAATGTAAAGTTACTCATTCAAAAGCTGTGAGTGATTTTCTCTGCCTTTTGTTGTTTGATTTGCATTAATGGCTAAATCGTCAGCAGGTTTAGGCTATTAGACTGCTGCCCCTTTAAGACCGAGAGCAAATCTAATCGGTAACTGAAGCACCATCATTTTCTCCCTATTATTTACGTCCATTTAAGACATAACTGTGTTTAAGTGAATCTCAGAGCTGGTCATTTTGACATTTTTATGTATATTTGATAGTTAAGGATACACGAAGCCCAAAGTGTAGGCTTCTTTTCTTGTCTCGTTGCAGTCGTGAACAGCGTCTCTTGCGCAGGCTTTTGTGTTTTTAATAGCCATTTTTTGATCTTGCAACAGTAGAAGACAGCATTTTGCAACAATCGCCGATCGTGCTGATTCTGACGGTACGTTTGGGTTTTAGGAACTTCCTAATAGGAAGAACTGACAGCGCTCCGCAGTGCTGTGAAGTAGGCTAAAGGAAGCTGGACAGATCATGCGTCTTGCTTTTTAACGGTTTTATCTCAAATATCTTCTTTTTATAATCTTTGGAAGCCGAAATACAAAATACATTAGAATAATATCCCACATCTAAAGTGTAACCACGTTGAATGTTTAGTTCTGTCCTCATTGTCACTCATTAAGCAAGAGCTGTCGTGTTGCGCGTGCTGTGGCTTTGCGTGAGAGATCGCTCTCTCTCTCTTCTGAACTGCGAATTTCAAATGGTTTAATTAAAATAGTTTATATATAGAAAAGGCTGGCGATATAAACATGTTCAAGATAACGTCTTTATAGGAATGATAAATAATTTCTCCAGTACCGACAGCAGAACCGATAACGTCCGAGCTTATCGATACAGCGGTCTTTCAAAATTCAGTACCGGGGCCCGTTTAATACCGGGTTTCGGTACCCATCCCTACTCGGTATCAAACATTTTGTTACGATACCCAGGCCTAAGGTTATGCCTTCAGTATTTTGATCAACACATTCATCCTGGTTTTTGTTTTGTACATGACAGACGTTAGATCGGGATTCTCCCGTCAGCATACGGTTCCCTTCCTCTGTGACACCACACCAGCCCTCTGAAACAATCTCCAGTAATCTGCTGGCAGCCCACAACTCCAACTGATTTAAGTTGCTTTTAGGATTAATATGTTTTAAAAGATTTGGACTTCAGAACAAAAACAGCATGAACAATAGAGATCACACAGTCAGTGTAATCCATCAGATCAAGTCACACTTTAAACGATCGCTTTGGCATCCAATCCACTCAGGATTTCATTCTCTTTCATCACTCCTCTTCCACTAGAAACTGTACCGAAGGTTAACATACCATCTAAAGAAGGGACCACAGTTTTCCTCAGAGCGAGGACCAGGCCTAGCGGAGAGCCGAAGAGGAAGAAGTCGGACACTTCGAAGTCAAACTTTCCCAGAGCGCCACCTCCCTCCAGCATGGTACTGCTGCTGGACCGCCGTGAACCCGGATCGTTCCTCAAAACGCTGGAGTGCAGACTATATATACACAATTTACATTATTATACACATCTTTACAATTTTATTATTGGGCATTATTACAGTCACAAGTAGGGATTCACTGCCATGTCTGGAAAAGTTATGAAATATATATATATATTTTTGATTCAAACCAATTCGGCAAAGAATCAATTATATTTTTGAACCACTGCAACTGATTGATTTAAAATATTTGACTAAAAAGACGATGAAATTCTAGTCAATCAAATATTTTTAATATTTCAATATTTACATTTTTTTATTACAAATTTGTTCATGTCTTTAGCAGGAATGGAAAGCAATTAAAAATATTATTATTTCCAGGTTTTCCATGACTGTGTGAAGCCTGTTATAAAATATATGTAATATTTGAAAATCTAGCATTTATTGTTTGGAATAGAAAAATAATCCCGGATATAATTTGCTTCTAACCAGATATAACCAACAAGTTAATGAAATGCTAATATCAGCTAATACCAATAATGTCATCATCAGCATATGAACCTTTTACCACATTAATGGGGTTATTAGAAGTGGAAGTTGTCAATAGTTGGGTAAACGTCACAATAGCATTTCTAAGACTTTTCAAAAGAGGAAAAATATATAGAGAGAGCTTGATTGCCATCACTCGCTCAGCTGTTGTATTAGAAACACTCACGAAGCAATGTAAATTAATGGCAAGGTAATATAAGACAAAGTATAGTGTTATAAGAGTACATTACATTTTATAAAAATGAAAATATAAAAACCTTTGCTAGATGCACTGAGGAAACGCATCATCACAGTCTATGAAAACAGTCCATGGTGCACATAAATATGATAAATAAAACAGACAAGTTGACTTGAATGATAAACAAACTGGGTGAGGAACAAAAGGAGGACTGTGGCTCACCTGGTCAGGAAGGCCTGGTGCTGTTTGATGGTGTCCAGCTCGTAGGTCGAGGAGTCGCTGCGTTTCCGGGGCAGCTGTCGTTTAGGGTCGTCTGGACCGCTGGAACGTGGAATGTCTATATTACTACGGCTGAGGTGCCGACTTCCCTCTAGAGACAAACCCGAGCCAGAACCCGAGCAGTGAGTGCTGTTTATAATGATCCCTGGTGACAACAGGTCATTGTCCTGTGGAGGAAGTGCATCAGAAATTAGTATTACAGGGATCATATGATGGAAAACAGGATATTTAGGATCATTATAATCATTTAGAACGTCTGACCTGCGTGGTTAAAACAAAAGAAGAATGGTGAGAACACACAACAAAAGGTTGTGGTTATACTGCAGTTGAATACTGTTAATACATCTTAAAGGTTGGGTAGGCAGTTTGTTTCTAAAACACTTTTCCATAAATCTGTTTAAACTGTCTTTATAAACCAATACACATCCAAAATTTAAGTACTCTGAAAAGGAGAGTATAAAAATTGAGAGTCTGTAGTCCTGTCAGGGCTGCAATAAAGACAGCAACTCTTTCCATTTGGAACGAATGCAATGATTGGCTGGGTGACTGTCACTCTCCCTCGCTACCATCATGGCTCCTGCTGCAACAGGAACCGGCCACATGCACGCACCCGGTTGACTCGCTATATACAGTCAGAGCAGGTAAACAAGGCAAAAAAAGGTGATGCCACTCCATGCACTGCGCCCTTCTCTGCTCGGCGCTGGTCAGAGGTGGACAGTAACGAAGTACATTTACTTGAGTACTGCACTTAAAGGAGTAGTTCACTTTAAAAAAAAAAAAAAAAAACTTTTGCTGATAATTTACTCACCCCCATGTCATCCAAGATGTCCATGTCTTTCTTTCTTCAGTTGAAAAGAAATGAATGTTTTTGATGAAAACATTCCAGGATTTTCTCCATATAATGGACTTCAATGGGAACCAAATGGTTCAAGGTCCAAAAGACAGTTTCAGTGCAGCTTTAAAGGGCTTTAAACGACACCAGACGATGAATAAGGGTCTTATGAAGCGAAATGATAAGTCATTTAAAAAATAAATAAAAAGGTTTAAGTTTTATAAGCACAAATGGTCACCTTGCTCTGTTCAGTGATGAGCGAGTTCAAACCTGACTCTCCTGTTCAAACTCATTCATCAAAATGAACAAATCTTTTTTCGAGTCAACTCGAAGGGTCCTACATAAGACCCTTATTCATTTTTTATTATTTTTATAATAAAAATAATAAAATTATAATTTTTTCTGGAAACTTGTTACTTTAACTTCTCTACATTTAAAAAATATCATACTTTTTACTCCACTACATTTCTGTCAAAGTCCTTGAGTAGAAAGGAGTGATTTACTAGTAGTGAGTGTTTTGAAAGTTTGTTTTCATGGCAAATAAGTATTTATGGTGTGCTGTTTGTTAAAGCAGTATTGCTGTTGGGCAGTTATACAGTTATGGTTGTATAGCTAGGTTTTTGTTTTTTTTTGTATTTACAGACCATTTGATTCAAATGTGCATGAATGGATACACAAAGATGTGCACTTCTTTTGTTGGGGTGGTAGGAGTGTTAGATAAAAAAATGAAGATGATTATGGCTGTCTTTTTTATATATTCATTAGTTTAATTTCTATAGGTTTTGTGACATTCTTAAAGCTCCACACTACAAAACTACAAACCGGTCAATGTATTCACAGTTTGCTTCAGAGGCAATAATGCAACAATAATATAATGCAACAATAATATAACAATGCATTGACATTTACTTTGTACTTTTGATACTCAAGTACTTCTGTACTTTCTTTTTTCTGTATAAAAACAAGTACTTCTGTACTTTTACTTAAGTAAAAATCGTAAAAGTAAAGTAAAATCGTGAAAGTTTTACGTTAAGTAAAAAGTCTTTACAACTTTTACTTGTAACAGAGTAATATTTGACAAGTTGTACTGTACTTTCACTCAAGTAAGGTAGTTGTGTACTTTGTCCACCTCTGGCGCTGGTAAACGCGTCCTCCAGCTGAGTGGGCGGCATCACCCCTTCATGTGTTTTGGGGGCGTGGCTTGGAAGGAGCTCAGAAGGGGTATGGGGTGGAAGTTTCTCTCTTGGATACTTTCAAAATCCAGCAGCTTTCTGCTAGTTTCTCAAACGTACCTACCCTGCCTTTAACCACTGTTTCCTGAGTTTGCTTTCCTTAGGAAGGCCAAAAAAAGGGGGTTTAGATAGGGTGGAAAAACAGCGTCTCTTGGACACACTGCTAATGCAACTCAACCAGGCCCCATCCCTAAACGAGAGATATCGGACGTGTACGTTCACAATTAATCACTGTCTGGATGATCAGGCCTTGTGTGTGTGAAAATGTGTGTGTTCACCTGCACACTAACAATGCTGCCACGCCGGCTGCTGTTTTGACTCTCTGACACTGTGATGTTGCTGCTGCAAAGAGCATCAAATCCCAGAATCCCTCCAACACAGTCACCAATCAGACACACCTGCACACAATTACATCACATACAGGAAGTCATGAGTGAGATAAATGTCCATTTAAAGATGAAACAACATTCACAACACTTCAAACTAAAACTAGATGCGTATTTCACTGCCACACAAAGTGTCCATTTCCCTAATCTGTAAATAATTACATAGAGAAAAAAACCAAAGCACTGACTTGGCCAGTGAAAGTGGCCCCCTCCAGGGATTTGATGAAGTCACCGTAGACCTGATTGGCTCGCACTATGACCGTTGCCACGGCGTCCTGGTACTGTGGTGCAGAGGTGGCCAATAGGGGCAGGGCGGCCAGAGGGATGTGATCCTGACTGTTGGAGAGGCAGCCTTCGTCATAGCTATAGGGACTCAAACTGTGTCAAGGACACAAGAACAGAGAGCATGCTGGGTTATTACCAGCGAGAAGCCGTTTTATGCACTGAATCAGCACGTAGAGTGGCATAATAACACACTAATCTTTCTGCATTACGCATGCAATACTCGGTTGACCTATACAATTACCAAAATGTGCACATTTACATCCAGACCGCACAGAACAGAACTGTATCCCACAATGCAAAGTGTTTTCAAAAGTGCACTGTCGTCTAAATGAATTAACATCTCTTTATCGACTCATTTAAATAGACTGCAAAAAATGTGATAACTAATGATAACTGGAAGTTATTCACTGCAATAACAGCAGTACTTTCCTACAAAATAAATAAAAATAATTTATTATTAACATTGTATTATTATTTAATAACAACAAAATTTGTATTATTTAATACTATAGCAATTTTAGCAATAATACAATTTTTTCAAATACATCTATTCTAATCCATACCAAAAATAATTAATTAATTTATTTATTTGAATCAATAAATGATCAATACATTATTACTTTTGAATGAATGAATGCAGGGACTTTCTGCAAACATTAAGCAACACTTGTCATACAACTAGAAGGTTGAAAAGTTGGAACTGTTTCTAGCTTAAGTGTGTTACTCAGTGCCTCACGACTACCAGACGTCATGTTTTGAGTGTGTTTGGCACTCACTTTGACACCAGAGAGAAGGCCTCCACACACACGGCCGGACAGGGAACCATGCGGATGGCGATGCGGCCCAATGCAGCTGGGTAATGGACCCGCATCACTGCATCAAACGCGCTGCCGATGGTGTTGACGTCCCCCTGCTTGCTGTTCTGGTCTCCGCTGCCCGTGTCCAGGATGTTCCCGCCGTGCAGGACCAGGAGGAGGACGTGCATCTTAGACGGCTGTAAACACTGCTGTGAGGAACCGTCCTGAGGGACACATGTGGACAGCTGTTTCAGCAGCTGCGTTCGGTTAGTTTAAAACATCCACACACACACACACTCGAGACAACATGCTATTGTGAAAGAGGACGACTTACTAATGAACAAAAGGTAAAGAGCGCAACAGCAGTCTCCCGGAAGCAAGAATCCCATTCAAAATCTCCATAATAGAAATCTCTCAACAAGACAGCGCAGACATATGCTCTGTAGAAACCACGTCACAAGAGTGGCTACTCAGATGACCAGAACTAAAATTATTAGCAACCTATATTGCATTAGTTAATGTGGAGGTGTCGTAATGTTAGAGCATACAATATAGCAGTGGTGATTTCTACATTTACATTTATTCATTTAGCTGACGCTTTTATCCAAAGCGACTTACAATTGCCATATATGTCAGAGGTCGAACGCCTCTGGAGCAACTAGGGGTTAAGTGTCTTGCTCAGGGACACATTGGTGTCTCACAGTGGATTCGAACCCGGGTCTCTCACACCAAAGGTATGTGTCTTAACCACTGTGCCATCACCACCATTTCTAATATATAATTTAATATTATTCAATATATATATAACATATTATAGAAAATATATTCTGATAAGGAAAATCATACAAAACATAATGGGGTGAGCAGCTTATTCGGACTCTTTTTTTTTCTACAGCTATGACGATTATGACATTTTGTCAAGGAAACTATTTTGATTATGGTCAATATCAAAAATTAAGTATGCAATGCATGGTTGTTTAATTATCTGATTTGTTCATGCCAGTTACAGACTATTAACAGGGAAGCATGGCATGAATAATTACATTGTTATTAAATAATATTTTTAATAATATTAAACTAATAAAAAGACGAAAACGAAGAAAAATGGAAAAAAATATATACTTACAGTATATATTTTATTTTTATATCTTTTATTTTTATATGATTAAATAATATAATTATGTTAGAAACCTCTTATTATTATGTAATATTATATATATAATATCCCAGTCCCTATAATGGCCAAAAACATTAGGAATTATGCAAATGATCAACTAATGCATAATGAAACTAGACTACATTACAAAACTGCTTAATGATTTGTATTGCTATATAATTCACTAAAATTAATGTATATTTAAAACAAAATGTTTCTGGTTGCCATTAATCAAATAATTGTGATTAGTTTCTTTTTTTTTTTTTTTTAAGAAAACACTTTTAAAATTACTAAGGACAAAATAAATGGGGCAAAAAAAAAGAGAGAAAGTGGGCATCACTGTTTCCCGATGAATGAAGATTATTCCATGGTAGAAGAAGAACCACGTCTACATCTCTAACGTGTGTCCACTTTCCACAAGACAACATCTGAGATCAGGTGCTATTCAGGGTAAAGGTCAGCTCAACACTAATGCAAACACAACACAATCTCTATAAATAACTGCAACAACACAGGAAAACACCTTTGACTACATAACTTCTGACAAGATCTACACCTCTAAATGGATTTAAACAGATGCGTGTCGCAGCGACTCACAGCTGGGCTTCTGCGTGGTGTACGGCGACGCTTACGGGCGGTGGAGCGCCGCATGGGCCTGGGTCTCTGCAGACCAGAGTTAAAGAGCACTGAGATCATCCCAGAAAAGCCCCGTGAAACCCTTCACACCATGAGAACTTCACCACATCACTATATACTGAGACAACTGTTGCAGGTCATTTCGTGAAAGGTCATGCAGATTGTTCAGTGATAGGGTGGCTGTTGCATAATGTTCCCTCAGAGAAGATTTAATGCTTTTGCCGCCTCTTTTTACGTCAGGATGAACACAGCGTGGTTTAGCACAAGTACAGATCAATGCATCTTTCACCGCTGCAGTCGCATTAATAATACCACACCAATGAGCACTGCTGCATAAATATGCATTACGTAATGTTTACGTTGTATTATATTTTCCATTAATGTTAATGGAAAAGCATTCAATGAAAATGCACGATTAATTGCAGACATACCTCATTGAGTCGCTCCCCGCCGGCAGTCCCAGGTTCTTGATACAAATCACCTAGAGACAGAAAATTAAAAAATAAAATTAATCCGCTTAATACAAGAAAAAACATGCACATCACATCTCATAATTCTTCTGAAACTAATTTGCATTGCTGAAAAAAAAAATGTAAAAAAAAAGATATATATATATGAAGAGTTTGGTTCCAAAACGCGATAAACGCCATTTAAAAAAAAATTTAGTTACTGCAAAAATCTATATTGTATCTGGTCGGTCTTGAAAAGTCAATGTTTAATTTTACGCAAAATGCGAAATCCGCCATGTTATTATGTAATGTTTTCTCCCTTTCTTTCCAAACCGTGACAAACGCCAGTCTGCAAAATGCGATACATCCGCTCAACCAATCACAACGCACCATTCCACCCAGTAACGGCAGCGCTTTAACTCTGGCTTCCTAGGTTTACTCATCTATTTTGTACTTTACGATCAACAAACAAACAAAAAAATGAATAATTTTGACAGCATTGGTGAACCTGCGGAGGGTAAGGCATCCTGCATGGGTAAACGTGACATCGAAATTAAATCATTTACGTGAGGAGATTAAGAAGATGAGGCACTCGGGAGGAGGAAATGCCGGCTGTTGCTTGTTCTCACACGACAGCATCAAACTTCTGTCACGCTGACACATCGACCCCAGGGGATCTTTTGAAAAACTTTCAGTTGTTTTAATCAAAGTCAACGAAAACCGAGCAGGACCAAGCCATTTTACAGCTGATCGATCGAAAAGTTCAGAGGCGACGTCCCAAGGTTGACAACAGCGATATGCAGAGGTAACGTTAGATCATGCTTAATAAATCATAATTCATGATGATGTGCTCATCTTAGTTAATGTTTTAATTAAGGCGTTGTTCATACATGAAGTCATGAATGAAAAAAGTTGAACTGTTAAAAAAAACCGTTAGTTCCTGATGATATTAATGTATGAATGAATGGATAATTCATGCATTCATTTATACACGAATTCATGATAATTCATGACATGTACCCTTACCGTAAAGTGTTACCGAATATTGTTATATTAAAGCAATGGATTTATAGAATGCACAAGAAAACAAATTCAATGTGTATAAAATTTTATATTGATTAATTGCATTTTGAAAAAAAAATTAAATGATAATAACTAAAAAAAACTAAATGATATAAGGCAAATAAAACTTTTCAGAATTCATTGTACAGCACGTGTACAGTGCAACAGCAGAGAGCTTGTTTACGTCTTCGACATACTGAACAGGTACCAAAATAAAAAAGAAGAAGCCCTAAACCAACTACAGCACACAGATCCATACTAATATTAATTAATAAATTGTATTAAATTAGTGTATAGTATGAAATATTTGTATTAAATTTTATAAATTAATACTATACGATATGAAAGACTTGTGCTGCCCTTCATTGTATTTTCCTGTTTTGTAGTGATTCCAATCATATTTCAAGCAATTCAAAACCATCATGTTGAACAGTGCGCATCTGAAGTGTCTCTTCAGGAAATATTACATTATCGGCTTTAAAATATTGGCCGAATTTTCTTATTAGGCTGATGCCGATAACATTAAAAATGAACATATATCGGCCGATACCGAAATATCGGTGGCCGATATATTGTGAATCTCTACTGAAATGTAAAGACCTTTCAATGTAAAGACCGAGACCTTTAAATTAGAATGGATTCTGATTGGTTGTCAGTGTTTTAACGTTGGACAGCTGGAAAAAAAAACATTCTGAAAGTGATCCTAACGATATCGTTATCATTATAGTTGTGGTGTGACCTCTTGTTATTCTTTAATATGGAGAACGATTTTTAGAATTATATCTTTATAGTTATCTTTATAGGTATCGTGCTTGGTGTGAACAGGCCTTTAGACTTTGATTTGAGCGTGGGTTTGATAAGTGTAAAAACCTCAATGGCCCTTGAGTCCAGCGAGCAGTGAGATCTGTCTTACAAACAGCATGGAGTTCTGGGTAATTAGTGTTTCATATTCTCACACTATTTGACACAGACCCTAACCTCCTCAGACTCAACGGGGCTCCTTTACAGCTAATCCTATTAAAGATGTGAAAATCTCTGCATTTGACGGATAAATGGAAAAAAACTCCGTCCAGTGGGCTCGACTTATGCATTACAAAACCAAAGCATTGGAAAAAATGCTTTGCAACACCCCCTGCAATCCTAAAACGTGTCAGATGGGTGAAGATAATCCCTCACGTACCCTGAGCTTCTTCCGACTCGGCGGTCTCGATTTTATCCATCAGATCGTTGGAGCTCCACTTGGTGATCTCCTTGGTGAAGATCTCCTCGTTGTCAGAGAAGTCCTCTGAGGAACAAGGATTCAGATTTTAGTAAATAACAGAATGCCAAGAGCACCTTTTAAACCAAAGATCAAACCTGTATTACCGTGTGCATCAAAGAACTCGTCATCTGTGCTGTCCTCCGAGTCTCTGGCGATGCTCTGCATGCGCCATTCAGAAATACTGTGGCGTGAAGGGCTTCCTGTGCACAGGATGCATTAAAGACAAATAATAAATCATATTAGTTCTATATTCCAATGCTTAATGACACATCCACTGAAAAAAAAACTAATTATGCAACTACACCACCATTCAAGGCTTTAGGGTCGATTAGATTTACTTTTCTTTTTTAAAGACATCTATTATGCTCACAAAGTCTAAACAGAGCAGCTTTAATGTTTTTATTATTATAACTCCAAGTTGGGAAAAAGCAACTGATCATCAGAAAGTGAGACATGAACCAATAATTGACCTATGGCTAAACCACGCCCCCTCCACTCACTCGGACAGACAATCAACATTTGGGGACAGGCGCTATGGCAGCTGTCACAGTAGGAGACATTTCACAGGAGGCAATTGATGATTTATGGAGACAGAAAGCAAATATATCATCTTGAAGTCACCTAAAGGGCCTTAACTATGCACTGGAGGTTTATATTAATAATTTTGTTGTTGAGAAGGTCGATGAAAAGCTTCAGCTTGAGGCAGAGATGTACAGGTCACAGTGTAAACGTGATAAACCGCATATCGTTGCCATCAGCGTTTGGTGCTACAGTATACATGAATCATTTAGCACAACATTGTTAACATTTGTTATCGCGGTTATTTACAGATACGTTAATGAAGCTACAGTAAGTGACATGATGTACAACGCAGCTAGAAGCTAATGTTAACGTTTTCTAATGTTAGTCTAACGTTAGCCTAACGTTACGTTAGAGATTTTAAAGATAACTTTCAAATATGTTGTTGACTTAACTTAGATCAGATGTAGACATCCTTGTTTAATTTATCCACGTTTAGTTGGTGTTGTGGTCTAGCTACCGCATAACTTTATCCAGAGCAGACACTTACGTCGGGTGAGATGTGGCTTGGGAAAGGATAAAAAAAAATACACACTGTCGCCCAGCCTCTCAGGAACGTTGTGTCGGAGTTACACGTACCCCATGCCAGTGTTGTAGTACTTGAGACTCGGACTCGTCTCGGACTCGGTCTCGAGACCATATTTTAATGGTCTTGGTCTTGTCATGGACTCGGAATTGATTCGTACTCGAACATTTTTTTTTTAGGACTCGGAATTATTCCCGAGTCCACTCGAGTTCAATTAAAAATATTTTTCATGATTATTAATGTATGTTAATAAAATATTTCTTTAAATTGATTGACACGCCCAGTGATTGGTGATTTTCTAGTGCGCAACTGCGCATGACAAATTGTAATAAAATTACTTTTAACACCACCTACTATGTGGCCTTTTTACCCTAAACTGATTATATTTTTTAAACTCTAAGTAAATTCAGTAAAAAAAAAGGATTTCTCTAAGTAAATAAAAGTATATTAGGTAATCAACCCTCACTGGTCTCGGTCTCGGCTCGGACTCGACCGTCTCTGGTCTCGGACTCGACTCGGACTCGACTCTCTATGGACTCGGTCTTGACTCGGACTCGACTCTCTATGGACTCGAGTGAGGTGGTCTCGACTACAACACTGACCCATGCACACCGTTTGACCATTTTAATCTTAAAATGACAAGAAAAAACGAATGAAAACTGACCAACTGCAATGCATTTCAATGGACGTGGAAGCAAAGAATGTCCGAGTGTATTGGGTCAGCTGCGCACTGTGATTGGCTCATCGCGTTTGAGGGCATGGGTCAATTCCCCTCAAAGTATAGTTGTTCCAGGAACAGGACCTTCTCGAGTAATTCCTTTCTAGTCAATTTCACATGAAAGTCGATGTGAACTTACCGCCCCTTTTTGAGGAACGCGAGGACCTGGAAGAGGTGGACCACTGCTTGGTCAGCTCTCCTCGCGCCTGCAGCGTGTCCCCCATGGTCCTCGTCGTGCCCTCCGCTTCGGTGGAGCTGTTGGCCTCCTTGGCTTCGAGTTCTTTCTCCGAGCCGGTGACGGGGCCGTTGTTCTCGCCGCCCTCCTCGTTGCAGCTGTACTGTGCCATCTTCTGTTGCAGAGCCAGCTGGGTCTCCAGCTCCAGTTGTCGGATGTCCTCCATGGTCAGACCGTACCATTCATCCTGCCAACACCAGGCCTGTCGATGAGCACGGACCATCACCTTCCTCAGCCCTGATTGGAAGAATTTGTGAGATTGATGCCTACGTTAGCACAGGAAAATTGTTTCCATAGTCACTGCATGCAAACTAGTTAGGAAAAAAAGAAGGAAATGTTCACACAGTAGAATTTTATATTTTCTAAAAGATAAAGAGAGTATTGTTTCCCATGCAAAAATCTGGATACCAATGCTATTCGGTTGATAAGGTGTTCTGAAATGTTTTAAAGGGCACCTATTATGGAAAATTCACTTTTACATGGTGTTTGAACATAAATGTGTGTTGGCAGTGTGTGAGCAAAACCACCCTTGAATGATAAAAATCCACCCAGTGGCGAGAACGAGCTGTTCTAAGATTCAGCGCTTTGTGATGTAGAATTGAGCAAGGGGTTTGATTGACAGTATGGTTGTGGCCTAGACACTGCCCTCGGTGATCTGTATACCATCCTCCATTGTTTCAACGACAGCCGGTAATGTCTCTTGGAAACATAAATGTTCTGTCCTGGGTTAATCCTGTTGTGGCTTAAAATAAATCCTCAAGAGTGGATCGTCGTCTACTGTTTGCGATCCAACGGCACCTCCAGTAACAGTAAGTGTGTTTTATGATTTTTGAGCAAAGTCATTTCAGTCGATGTCAGCCAATTCAACAACAAATGCGTCTAAAATTGTTGTCGTCGTAGGATGTCTGTGTATAATTTAAACCTTGTTTGTATAGTGTGTAACCACACGTTTATAAATATATATATTTTTAAAGATATTGTATTAAAAACTGCATATATGTTCTTGTACTGTAAGTTAGCCATCTTCTCACATTTGCCACAGAAGCACCTGTACGACAAGTAAACATGAATATAATGTAATTTCGCTTGTACGTAGCAAACTTTATCACAGAATGTGCTTGTAGTTTAAAAAAATTGCGCCAACATTAGTGTTTGTGTGTGTCTGTATGTGTGTGTGTTGCACATCCATAATATCAAAGGGGACGCGATTACAACTATATAAGTACATAAATGTATCAAATAACCATACCGAGACGTACTGGTCCATTCTCATTTGTGTTTATTCTGCCCGAGTCTCTTCGTCATCTGGGTCTGATCAGAGACTATTTATATATTCCGATTCAAACGTATGCTGAATGACATTCAAAACAGCGCGTCTCTCACTCTCAGCCCTTCTGCTTCGACCGACTGCCATAGGTATCAAGTTACGCCCTCATCCAAAGGCAGGGCGGGGATATGCAGCTCATTTACATTTAAGGTCGTATACACCAAAACAGGTCATTTTTAAACAGGCCCCAAAAATGACATTTTCAAATGGTTATAATAAATTAACTGTGGGGTATTTTGAGCTGAAACTTCACAAATACATTCTGGGGACACCCGAGACCAATATTACATCTTGTAAAAAGGGGCATAATAGGTGCCCTTTAAAGGGGACCTATTATGCAAAATTCACTTTTTTATATGGTGTTTGGACATAAATGTGTTGGCAGTATGTGTACACAACCACCCTACTTATAAAAATACTCTCACTGATTTTTTTTAAATCCCCATAAATCATAAGCAGTGTCTCCCAACAACCTGTTTTCAGAATGCGGCTTTAGTGATGTCACTAACACCACAGGCCCCGCTCACGAGTGTTGACAGACACAGCCGTTTTAACTTAGACCCGTCCTGATCGAGTTCACCGCGAGTTGTACACATTACTGCACTGATAAAAATGTCTCCCAAGCGTTGAAGGTGTTGTGGCTGGATGTATTCATTCACATAGCTCTCTCTATTTACTCCTGAACTCTGAGCCAGCCGCTGAAGACGAGGTGGGTTCATTTTGTCTTTGAAGAATGCAGGGAGAATCTCTACCGAAATTGAACTTCTTATACGGTGTTTACTCAGCTCTTACACTGATTTTCTGGAGTAAAACTGACGCTTCATCTTTTGTGTGAAATACAATGAACTTTATTAAACTCATCAGTATATTTTGTGTCATCATTCAGACGTGGTCCTACAGCAGGCTTGTATTAATAGTGACTACAATCAACAATGACACATGGGTTATGACCATAATTAAACTATACCTGTTCCAAAGCCACACAACATATCGAAATGTCGAAATGAACACCATTACTGTGAGTTTCTGTTTTGATATTATCATCTTTCTGTGAGTTAAGATTGTTAGCCTCTGCCCCCTGTGCCATGAACTAGCAGCTCATTAGCATTTAACCTTTTGAAGTCGGCACCAAGAAAAAAGTGAATGAATTTTTTTTTGTTTGTATTTCTTATCTTCTTAAGATGTCACTTAATGGTACTTCATGGTAATAATAAATGGTACCGGAATTCATACACATACTTTGCCATAATTTTTCATTGCGCATCACCATTTATGATCAAAACCTTTTCTAGTCTTGACAAAACACATTGTCAGAAACGTCTGAGTCTCAAGGTTCCATATTTTAAAACAGAAGTGATATTTTGACAGAAATGTATTAATTTGTTACAGCAGAATGCATACAATTAAATTCAATGGAATATATGTGTTTACACCTAAACAAAACCTCATGACTCATGAGAAGTTAAAATTTTGCGATATCAACTTCAAATTTGGAAGACAAATTGGCCAGATATATGGCTTTGATTTTATAGTGATTTTATAGGAAAAAATATTTTGTAAAATATATATTTTATATAAAAGAAAAAATATTTAGTACAGTATATTGTTTTCTTTAAAACAAGACTAAACTTAGGTCTTTATTCCAAAGCATACTTGAATTACAACCAAGTTTTAATAGCATTGTAACGGTTTGGTTGAGCATGTTTTTGAAAAATTATTAAAAATGTATTTAAGTTTTTTCATAGCACCAAGTAACATCATTTTGTAAAGTTAAGGCTCTTACAGTGTGATAAATAAAATAAAATAATGCTTAGCTTGCAAAATTTCACCAAAAACAGTTCACATGGCTGGGGTGATTTATTTGTTTCTGACATCTATGTTAGAAGAAGTGTTGTGACAAATGCTGTTGATTGACACTGTGAAATCTAGTGGATCTTTTTTTTTGGCATAATGTACCTCATCCAGATGATAGAGATGGCTCAATCAGTTTGAGTTAAGTGATACTCCTCTCAATAAAACATAGTGACTCAAAATGTGCTCAACCATTTGGTTGAGAAGTCAGTGAAGGAGACACACTAAAACGGTGCGTTTTTTCACTCCCAAAAAAGTGACGATTTTAACATCCTGTACAAAATTATCTGTGGGGTATTTTGAGCTAAAACTTCACATACACACTCTGGGGACATCAGAGACTTATTTTACATCTTGTGAAAAGGAGCATAATAGGTCCCTATGGTGCTTTAAAATGTGATATGAAAATGTAACACTTTACATAAAAAAACACAAAGTAACATAATTAGAAACATTTATACAAGCAATGTGTTACTTCAATCAACCAAAGTTTTAGTAATTTTGTGTTGGTGTTTTCTGCTATTTTTATATATATTAAAAAATTAAATAAATTCTCTCTCAATGGGTCTATATTCAATTTTTTTATTTTTAGTTACTTTACCTTAACTAATTTTATATCAGGTAAAGTTTATTAAACTTTTAATAATAAAAAAAAAACTTTAAGCTTTAGTTAACTATAATAAACTTAGTTGACTGATGAGTGTGCAACTGTGCATATGAGATCGCTCAACATTTGGGGTCGAGGTGTGGTTTGACATTTCCTTGCGCGATTTCCTCGATTGATAAAGATGTGTCATAGACGCAGTTAACCAGTCGTTCAGATAATTGAACTCAGTAATGAAGAGACGTGCAAACAAAATTGTTTTCACAGCGGCCAGGAAACGGGGAGAGGAAAAATTGATAAAAATAAAAGCGAATCAGCCAAAGTTAAAGACTTTGGCAAAAGAGGAACAACAACACTCTGCTTGCAAATTATCAGAGAAATGAGCCAATAAAAAAGCCCGAAATCGAAGTAATAAAAAAGATTAAGCGGCGAGCGAACGGCACATGGAAAGGAAATTAATTCTGCTCTGATGTAGTCAGGAGGAGGTGGTCCTCCAATCGTTGATTTAGACTGCATCAATCTCGTTTTCATTAAGTGCAGGTTAATGATTAAGGGCTTTTTTCCCTGACAAAACGCTTGACACCTGCTGCCCACCCACGCACAACGATAACAGGATGTTACCAAGCATCAATTCACGCACATATGCAACAGATGGATCAGCTGACTCATACAGAATTATTGGAGAGACAAATGTCCTCTCAGTGCAAATAACAGTGGTGGACATATGGCACCAAGTTGATCATAAATATATATAAAATCCCAAGGAGGTGTCTGAATATTTCCAAACACTTACCCACATCATGAATGAAGCGCTCAATCTTGGACTGCATGCCCCAGTATCGAAACTCCACTTTACACAACTTGTAAGCGCACATGACGGGCATTTTGCCTGGGTTGGTGTTGATTTCCGCGATCCAGTCATCAGACAGGGGTCCCCGCTGCGTTTTATTCGACTTGTAGAGTTTAGGGTCCTCTTCAGCTAGGTACTCATGAGGGGCAATGAAATCTTTCACAATATCGATAGGATCTGTGAAAGACAAATTCTTCCATTAGCGATCGCATTTTTTTGCACAAAAAAAGCATGTGAGAACAAGGCACGAATACGGGGGTTCATATTTAATCCATTTATGCAAACTAAATCAGTTCATCGCAGAGATTTTATTGAGGGTAATGACATGGACCTTGAGTTGTCTGAGGCCGTAAAACCTAGTTTATCTGTTTGTCGTATGTGTCATAAAGTCTTTCTCATTTAGCATTAGAAATCGGGTTGTTCCACTAAAAAGAGGAACTTTTGTGCCTCATGCCCATACTAGAAAAATTATTTATTTTTTTGTATTTTTATACACAAAAATTTGGATCAGTTTTTGACAGTGGAAGTAACATTCTAAAACAATTACTAATGAAATAGTTAAGGAACCAGAATCATTGAGTGGAATCGTCATTTTTACTCTTGCCTTTTCTTAAAGAACAACTCTTAATTCAGATCTCTTAATCTAGCGTCGTATGTCTTCAGTTATTCACAGTCGCTGGTCTTGGGTTGTTCCCTGTTCGCAGGCGGCCTCTAGGTGTCTCCACAGCACACTGACAAAGGCACATGTTTTCAGTCAGGAGTGGAGTTATGTAACAGCATTCACAGGGCGCTTCCCCCTGCAGTGCCTGCGTCTGTCTATGTTCGGCTCAAAAAGCCTCCAGTACCTGTCCCAGAGTGCAATGGGGCTCTCGTGCAGCGGCACGTTACCCAGCAGCAGCATGATGCTATGTCAATGAAGCGACACGCTGTCTGCATCTTAAACACCGAGGCATGACTCGAGAGCTTGAGATTGGTTAAAGAAGAAGGCAGTGCTCATGCGGTAAAAAGCATGCTAATGACTGGGCCTTTTAGAAACTCAATTGTTGTAGATGCTCAGTTGTGGTTTTGCTGATTTGAATATTTTGAAACTGTCAAAAGCACCATTTAAATCAATGCATCAGGCATGCCTGCTGAATGAAAAGAAAGAAAGTGCAACAATACCTATATCCCGTTGTCTCCTTTCGGCCGAGGACATGTTGAAGACGTCATTATGGCAACCCGTGTCCGGCTTGTAGTACGTCTCGATATCAATGGAAAACTTTTCGACGAAAGGACACGTGTAGCTGCAGGACAGGCGAGGAAAGATTAACTCAGATGTCATTTCATCATATCAGTGTCATGCATTACAACAGAGGTTCATACGAGCTTATCCTCTCTTCACATAGGCGTTGTCTATACCAACCATGACCCCTTCATTAGGTAACAGATACATGTTTATTGCAGTGGAAGTTTATCCCTAAGCTGCACTCAACGTGAAACTCAATAACGAGCATCATTGCAACATTCACTATAAGACCAGAAAGATGCTTTAAAGGGATAGTTCACCCAAAAATGAAAATGAAGTCATTAATTACTCACCCCCATGCTTTACCGACCTTCGTTCGTCTTCGGAACAAAAATGAAGATATTTCTGATTAAATTTGAGAGGTGGATCACTGCTACATAGGCTGCCTAAGGGATTGAAACTTCACGACCCAGAAAGTCATTGAATAAAATGTTTAAATATTCCATGTGACTACAGTGGCTCAACTATAAGTTTATCAAGCTACGAGAATACTTTTTGTGCGAAAAAAAAAAAAAAAACTACTTTATTCGACTATTCCTTTTCTTCCCTCTGGGCCTAAGGCCCTTTTTACACGAGAACGCTCGCGGGTGAAACGTAAAAATATTTTAACGGATGTGCCTTTCGTTTACACGGCAACAGCGTTTTTGAGCCTCAAAAACGCAAAAACGTGAAACCACCCTCCAGAATGGAAATCTTAAAAACGCTCCACCGCCGCTTTCCCGTGTAAACGGTAAAAACGCAAAAGTCTGCTTGACGGTGAAAGTTGTACGCAGGCGCGTGGACTTGGTGTTGTTGTAGTATGCACTCCTAGCCGCCTGAAGTGCATACTACATTGAATTTCACACACTTTTGCGTCTCCGTTTGCACGTGGATTTCCCACACAAAATGCTCGTCTAAACGCAGAATAAAAAAAGATGGCGCAACGCCACTTGCGTTTTCTCTTCAGAATCGTTTCCGTGTAAACATAGCCTGAGAAGAGTGTTCAAGAGATTTCCACGACGCATGTGCGAGAACTGAACAAGTAGTAGAAAAAGAACCTAGTTCTCGCTCATGCATCGTGGAAATCTCTTGAACTCTCGTCTCAGGCCTACAAGGAAGAAAAGGAATAGTCGAATGAATAAAGTCGTTATTTTGGGGGGGTTTTGCACAAAAAGTGTTCTCGTCGCTTGATAAACTTATAGTTGAGCCACTGTAGTCACATGGATATTTAAACATTTTCTTCAATGACTTTCTGGGCCGTCAAGTTTCAATCCCTTAGGCAGCCTATGTAGCAGTGATCCACCTCTCAAATTTAATCAAAAATCCCTTTAAAGGAGACCTATTGTGTTTTTTCCCATGTTCTTCTTTCTTTAGTGTGTAATGTTGCTGTTTGAGCATGAAAAAGCTCTGCAAAGCACAAAGTCCCTCCAGCGGGAGTTCTTCTCTATATCAGTGTCAGTGTTTCTGAACTCCATTGTAGTCTTGAGTTTCTTCCGTAAACAAACACGTCACAATATTCCTCATTTAAATAATTCGTATGCAGAATAAAGGGGTGGGCCAGGTTGAGTTCGTTAGTAGTGTGTTGAAACTCGCAGTTATGGTAAGGGACATGACATTTAAAAAATTTCAAAACATGCTCGAACTTGCACTTTTCAGAAGGAGGGGCTTCATAAAGATAGGAACCACATAAAGTGTTACTGAGGGACTGGAAAGAGGAGCTACAACAATGTCAAATATGAAAAAATGTGTTTTTTAAACATTCAAGTATGAAAACCTGTTCTGGTAGAGTTCAGAAACAAAATCAAGACTTATTTTAGACCAGAACCACAAGGCCTTTTGGATTTTCATTGGAGTAATCTTGAAAAAGAGCCAGAGTGTTTTATTATTAGGAGCTATGGCACTCACCGTGTACGAGTGTATGGGTAGGCGTTCCAGGATTCCTCTTCCACACGAAGCGCGGCTTTTGGCAAGATAGAGCGGAACCAGCTAGGGATGTGTTGGCCTATGTGGTAAACCTTATGGGTGTATTGACCAGAGCCGCCCGGGCCGTCTATGTAGGGTCGGTTCTCCAGGATCTCCACCCCGCTGCCCTCGCCTTCGCTCTCTTCACGACTCTTTTTCTGCAGGGAGGGAAAGGTCAGAGTTCAGGGTTTTCAGACTTCCAAATGGACTGAAATTAAAGTCAAGTCATATTTATTTATATAGAACTATACAATACAGACTGTTTCAAAGCAGCGTCACATTAATAAACAGGAAAATAACAGTGTTGTTATTGTAAACCTCATCAATTATGGAACAGGATCAAATTAGCTATATACAGAAGACATTAGTGTCATTATTCTGCTCAAGCTAGTTCAATGTTGGTTCAATACACTTCAATAACAGTCGATGTTACAAAGTCAGTGGCATTATGAAGCTCAATTCAGGTCAAATCTGTAGTTTCAATTCATTTTAATAACTGTCAGTTGCATTTATGAAGTTCAATTCAGCTATATGCAACTCGACAGAAGACAACAGTGGCATCATTGTTCTGCTCAAGTCAGTTTAATAACAGTGTCAATGTTGCAAAGTGTTACCAGCCATAAATCAGAACTGGATGGTTTTTGCAAACACTTTTTTTTTTGCTTTATTTAGGCCTATCTCTATTTCAGAACTGCGCACAAACTACATTGCAATCATTTCCTAAAATGCCATTTGAGTGGAAATATTATGAAGTCTATAAACAGGATGTTAACACAGGCCAGAGACAGGACATGCTGAAGCCGGATGCTAAGAAGAGAACACAGATGCGCCAGCAGAGCAAACACTGTACCAGCACAGTTATGTTCACGATGCTCGAAATGTAGGATGAAAAATATAAACATTGAATGGGCGTAGGAGTTTATATGAATGCATGTCTGAAAGGAACTGGCTGTCTTCAGAAGTTTTGATGGCACTTTCTTTTCCTCTAACCTATGCATCAAGTAGTGTTTATAAGTGCAGTGCTACTTATCAAAGAATCAAAGAAAGCATAAGCCGCCGTCTGCTGTTTTCTTTTGTGAAGGTTTCTTATGCAGCATAATTTCACAAAGCTAAAGTGAGGTCACTCTGTTTTTGCTTTAAATCTTGAAAGTATACAACCTAATTCAAATAAAAATAAAAAAAACTGGTCAAGCTAGAATTTTTGTTTGGATCATGATTAAAATGCAGTGGTTGTCTGTAATTTCTAATGGCTACAGATATTTTTGGTTTAAGGCCAGTTTGCCTGTAATAGAGCAAATAAATTCACTCTGTAACTTTTTCAACCTTTATAATATTTTTCCAAAACCCTTGAGATGGTACATTGACATACAATAGGTTGAATGACAGGTCTGATATAGCCTGACAGTGTCTGTATCGCTTTTACTGGCACTCTGTAACTTCGGGGTGCGGGTAGGAACCCGAGCACAAAAAGAACTACAAAATTCGACTGCTTCACGACATACGTCACTTCCCCCACTTCCTCAAATTCCGACGCGAGGGCCCAACAAGCGTTTTTTTTCCCCCCTCTGTATGTTGTCATGGCTGAAGCAGCGAGTAAAACCAAAAAGCCAAAAGTTTTGTCGGAGGATAGTAGAAAGAGAAAAAGGTAGAGTGACTAAATAAAAGTCTGGACGAGGATCGATCAATATTGGTCCAGCATTAGCTCGCTGGCGTGAGCAAAAGGAGGAGGAGGAGGGGTGCCCGACCGATCCAAGAGGTCCTCGGTCCAAAAGGTAAAATTTTTGGGGTAGTACGCCAAAATGATCGAACGAGTGATTTTTTTTTTTTAATACTAATACTATTTTAAAAACATTATTTCGTAATGCTACTCCACAAAGACGTAATTAAATCCCCCGACTCCGGTCCGGTGCATCAATCTTCCCCCGCCAAGCAAATGTGAAGTGCGTCAGAAAAATAGCGCGCAGGCGATCAGTTTACTGTTGGTAATGTGTTGTGTAGCTTCGCCCCTCGCCACATCCAATGCAGACTGCATTGTTTTCTTTTGAGGGCGCTTAAGACACTCAAGCATCCCTGTAGAGCCGTGGCGGGCAGCTCACGCCAGCTCAAGACGTGAAAGTATACCGATTACGAGTTTGGTAGGGGCTACATTCATGCAAGTAAATAATACATGATTAGACGGACAAAATAATCGGTCAGGATAACTATCCTATGTCTGCAGGCTGATAGTCATGTTTGTTACTTATTTTTCTGGTAAAAGTGTCTTGCCTCTGGCTATCATGCAAATCGATTTTTCAAATTTGCAGATTCATCTATGGTAGCTTGATATTATTATATTGACGATACCGCTATTATCTACCACACAAACTTTGAATTGAATTAGCATTATGTAAAACAGTAGCCACTAGCCAATAGGTTAACGTTACTATAAAGACGCTGGCTTGTAAACGTGAGCTAAGCGTAACCAGTGTAACCATGACATATTTTACGACAGTAGTAGAAGACAATACAGTTTCCCAACTGTAGGGGGACCCTGAGAGCAAAATTTAAAAAATAACATAATGCTGCTTTAAAGAAAAAAAGAAATCAACAACTGACAACGGACTATTTGTTTGTAAAAAATAGAATTGTCCATGAAAAGTCAAAATCAATGCATCGCTAGTTAGTGTCATTATCCAGTTCATCTTATAGTGTCAGTGCAGTTAAATTGATAATATTAAGCTAAGCTTAAATCTTACAATCTTGAGACACTCGAAACACAACGTTGATGTAAAGGTGACCATCTATCCCAAAACAGAACTGACTCCAACCCAACAGCAGTCAATTACATGCTCAGCGCTACTGGTGTTGGCCAATCAAGGAACGCCACACCTTCAGCTTTGGGTCAGTAAGATAAGCCAAGTCTCACTGTGAATGAGACAGACAGAACCGTAAAAATAGGGTACAGTCTTGGCAAGGCTCGGGAGCTGTGAATTTTGGGAGACAGCCCACTGTGCCAGTCAGGGTGGCACATACTGTCATATCTGCCTCGTCCGAGAAGGTCAAACGAAGGTAGTTGGAAGCATATGGTGTATAATGGCATATCAACTTACTTGTGAAGCCATCAAGGACAAGTTCGGCCCGCTTAAGTCTACTATGGAAAAGCCTAAATAACATGCCCGGCAAAGGAGAGCGTCTCCCCTTAAAACTGTGTCATAGTGTGAACATAAAAGTTGGATCATCAGTTTTAATTCTGTACAGCAATTTTTAACATTTCTGTTTGAACTAATTGACATGAACGTAGGTGTAATTATGTCATTGTTGCATGCGTCCTCTATGTTTAAATAAAACATGGATGATGACAGGCCAGTGGAGCTGGCACAATCGCAGGGCACACGGTGATCCCATCAGCCTTGTCTCTGAATTATCAAGATGATCGTGGGATTAAAAGGTGACGACGCTTATTTAAAGGGGTGGTTGATTTTGATTTCACTTTTCTAACTTTAATTAGTGTGTAATGTTGGTGTTTGAGCCGAACAACATCTGCAAAGTTACAACGCTCAAACTTCAAAGCGAAGGAAGCTATTTGTTTTTTGCACATTTGTGAGTCAAACCGTCATATCGGTCTTTTCACATGCAATACAGTATGTAACGCAAATATCACTCTGTAGGCATCTTACAACAGGTCCCAAATGAGCAATTTTATAGATTATCATGACAGAATATGCTAATCAAAGACTTGAAGAACTCCACATCAGCAATATAAATTCACAACTAACTGTTCAGAAACGGCCTGTTGTCACTTCTTGAGTCTCTTCATCATTGTCCGACTCGTTTAAATATAAAAAAAGGCAGAACAGTTTCTGACATTTCAGTGCATGTCCACGTGAGGTAATCGGAGTTGCTTAAGCCTAGTTCACACTACATGATTTTAACCCAGATTTAAGTCCAATTTGCAAATCGTTGAGCTCGCCAACAGGTTATCGCGTGCAAATCGCTGGGGATGAACGCTTGCCAATCTGTTAGTATTAAAAGAGCCAACAAAGCATCAAAGACGCTCGCAGACGTGTCGCCAAGCCCAGGAAAAATATCTAGCATGCTAGATATCCAGAGCTGTCGCACGACTCAACCTCAGTGATGTCATGAGCTACAGCCAATCAGAGCAAGGCATTGGTTGAGGTCAGTATTCTTCGCTGGGTATTGGCGCGCATGCATTTCCGGTTAGTTTTATCGCGCAATTTTTCGTGATAAAACATGGTTTGTAGAGAATCGTTGGGTGACAGAGTTGTGTAATGCATTACCTCCTGTTGTGGATCAATCACTTTGTGTCGTGTGGTGTGTGAACAGCTCAACAACTTGAACACTCCTGATTTCACAGAGAGCAAGTCATGTAGTGTGAACCGCACAGTTCAGCCCAACGTTTTAAAATCATGTAGTGTGAACTAGGCTTTAAGCCCCATTCACACCACACGCGACTTTATCGCTGCAGGTCGCCTGTGACTGCGCTGGAGGGCGTTCCCCACTACTGGTTGCCTAGTAATGTTTGTGAGTGACATTCACGGAAGTTACTCTATGTTAGACAACATATACGTTTTATTGCCGCTACAAACAAATATTTTGTAAGGAAAAGTCTATATATAAATGGAATCAGTATAAAATGCATAATATTAAAGATGAACGTGAAACAGTGAGTGCTCTTTGCCATCGCGGCAATTTAACTGCAGCAAACGGGCAAATACCGGTCTATCTGGGTTCAGTCACGGAGTCAGTAAGGTGAACACCACTGTATGTACACGGAGATATATCATCAATTATAGGACAGTTTCTGACTTCTAAAATGAGCTTCTCGTTCAACTTGCCTCGGTCAGACTCAGCACTGAAGAGTGACGCGCTCCACTGACTTCACTCCTATTGGTTGTCGCTCGCGAAAATCGCCCTTCATTTGCATAAAGTTAAACATTTCTCAACTTTGTCGCGTCGCTGGACACGCCCCACCGGTCGCTGTCGCGCGTGTCGCCGGAAGTCGCCTGATCACCATTGATAATGAATGGTATCGCGTCGCGTGTAGTGTGAACGGGGCTTTACAGACAGACACACACACTCTTGAAGCTCCGCCCTCTGCGCCGGGAGCAGCAGCTCATTTGCATTTAAAGGGACACACACAAAACGACACGTTTTTTTC